CAGTCATACCCACACACGGAGAACGATCGAGCACTAGGCGACTTGCGAAGAGTCGAAGTTCGTATGGTAGCCGGTTCGCTGCTCGTAAGCTACTTTGGCTTTCTTGCATGCACTTACGTCCAAGGATTCGATGTTGCGTTTCTGGCCGCTGAGCTCGGCTTTCTTGACGATCTTCTTCTTCGGGCGGGTAGGGCGAGTCTCTCCCGGTTGGAACACATCCTCGGGAAGATCAAAGCTGACGGGAGTTAATCGGAAACTTATGCTGCAGGTAACAGGCCACTCACTTGCGGACGTGGGTGATCGCTAGATCATTGATACCGGGCTGGTATCCTGGCCACGAGGTACACGTCGACTTGAAGATCTGGGCATCGGTCGAGATATCCAGCGACCGGGAGGCACCTACAAAGTCAGAGGATTCACAAAGGTGGTCGATCCTACGTACCTGGCTCGAGTGGCTTGAGCTCCAACCCGATATAGTAAGTCGTCGTGTACATGACATGAGTGTCATCAACGGGCTTATTCTCGGCTGCTGCAACATCAGTGTTCTCTGCCCCGTTCTGCGCGGCAGCCTGGTGGGCCGCATCTTTCATCTCATCGGTGGTCTCAGTCTTTGTTGCCTTATCTTGGTACTTGGTCGATCCGGTCTTGACAGCCTCGATTTCCTCCTCCGAAGAGACACGATGAACTCTCTCGAATCCTTTGGGGAATGGGTGCGCGATGGCGATAGTTGCTTTCCTGTCCAGAGCTCCAACAAGGTGTCTGATCTTAGATTCAACAAGACCAGACCAGACCGACTCTGCCTCCTTGGTTCTGCTCGATGCAGTGATGCTGAGGTAGTATTTGTAATCCTTGGTGAAGAATGTGTGTCGCGCGAACAGATCTTCCCAGCGCAGCTGTTTCAAGAAAATCTTGTCCACGATGTCTCCACCTCGCTGGAGTTCACGAAGAATGACGGCCTTGGTGGACATTGAGACGTTGTGGGTCGCGCACATGGAGGGGTAGGCAGGAGTAATGATAGGCATCAGATGGAAACGGTCGCCGTGATAGATCTATCGCTCATTAACAGCCATACCAAATACCATGTATGCTCCTGGACTTCGTCCTTACCTTGGGATTCCAGACCTTCATCTGCAGAGGTCCATCTTCAATCGGCTTCAATAGAACCGGTTGAGGCCAAGCCCACTTGTTCATGATCCGGAAGAATTTGCCCACAATCACCGAGCCAGTAGCCTGGGGGTACAACTGACACACTCTCGCCACCAACATGGCCCAAGCAACACCACCCGGGAAACCGACGATGTTCGAATAGATCGCACGGCCTGTTAAGACTTAGTAAAGCCAATATTAGACAAAGGTGGGACGCTTACGCTGAGCCCAAAGCTTAATAGCGCGCAAAGCAAGCCGGAATGTCTTCTGCTGGGGTACGAGCTCCAGGATTTCGTCCGTCACACGAGTGCCGTTAAGCGACCGCACCTCCCTCTCATCCAGACCCCGCAAGTAATCATTGTTCTTAAGATCCAGATTCATAGGAATGGAAGGAATGATCAAGCGAGCAAAGATCAAATCGATACTGATGCCGGACAATTCGAGTTTGATGATCGGAACGTAGGCGTCTGGGACCGGAGTCATCTTCTCGATAGCTCCCGGAGCAGCCATCTTCTCTAAAATCGGTGGGAAATCCGAAAAGAAATCATCGATAATAACATGCTTTGGGCCGACAACCAAGGTATCAATATCCGAGCCTGGTCCATAAACACCCAGGCGATAACTTCCGTACGTGAAGATCTTCCCTCCGGCGGCCTCGACGGCTGCTTGAGAGAGGCCCTTCTTCCGACTGACTGTTTTGACGAATTCGACGGTAACACGCTGGATGAGCTGCAATACTTGTTTCCTAGAGCGCAATTGCATGCTTAGCGCCCATGCCGGTTGACCTTCACGAAACCATCACGAATCGGCCTCTTACCTTCGTTCCGTCTCCGCAGGGCTCTCAAAATTATTCTGCACCTTCAACTCCGTGATAAGATCATCGTTTGCTGCAAGCTCGTCGGGGGTCGGTAAAACGGTGGAGATGGGAGGGGTAACTCCCCATTGTCTGACCGGTGGTGCCGCCATACTGAAAGTGTCCAAGTGAAATGAAGTATTACAGAAGCATGCGCTTGCGCCGTCGGCCAACAGAAAGCAACTCGGCACAAGATCAGGATGAGAAAGGAACGACTGGAGAAGAAAATGAAGATGTACTGAGACAAAAGAGATATCTGACCGACGAACCAAAGACGAAAGAAACCAGCGAAAGGAAAGGGACGAAGGGAGCAGCGCAGAGGGATCGGAGTTGAGAATGAGGAGGCGCTGCCTGGCCGAAAAGAGCAAAGGTTTATCGCCTGCTGACTCAGCCTATCAACGATCACGTGTGGCTACTGATAGGTATGTAACACTGGGGATGGAGATGTCTAGACGCCACCAGTTGTTTTGATATTCTGTATATCCAGTCTAATCATATATACGTGTTGTGGCAGCGCGAGAATGAAAGAGATGTTGACTACAGATCAAGTAACATAAGGAAACTCGCTACAGTACTAAATCCTCATTGATGCCGCTCAACCAATCAATTGGCGTGTATCGATAACACAGTCTCCCGCTTATCGGAGGCAAAAGAACGGAAGACAAAGACATGAACAACATTCAATTCTTGTCAAAGAACTCAGCCAGCTGCTCATCTAGCCATTTGACATCCTCTTTGCTTTGCCCTGGACCGCCAGCCCAGTCTACAACAGGTAGTGTTAGAGTAGATTCTCGTTGGAACGATATGGAGCACACTTACGTCCCCAGATCGAAGGAAAGACCTTCAGAGTCCCAGTCCCCCGCTGCATGAAAGCAACCTCGTATTCCGAGTCCTCCGGCCTGTAGACGGGTGTCAGCGGTGACCATGCCTAAAATGACGGCACTTACGGGAAGTAAAGGTCCGTCTTGCTAGGTAACACCAGGGTTTTGGCCTTGATGGCGCCCAATGCTTTCTCAAAGTTGCCATTGTACGGCTCCTGCTTGGACACATCACCATTCTGCCATGTTTGCAGCATCGTCAAGAGGTTTCCCGGATCTAAAGCCTGTCAGTAACAAACACACATCGGTACAACACAGCACCATGCTGCTGACCGACCTTTAGAAAGCGCCCAAGTTTCCCAGAAGTTCTGCATAAAGTCCTCTAGATCCTTGAATCCCAAGGCGGTTTCATACAGCTTTTCCCGGTAAAATGCCTGTGAGAATCCCCTGCACCAGTCACTGCATTAGCATACCAGCAGCAGACAAACAAAGGTCACCCTGGCCCTTACCATCCTGCATACCCCCTGCCAAACGCTTTCAAACCAACCTCCTTCTCTGTGTCACTCCAGGTCCGCAAGGATTGCTCGGCCTGAAGGAGGCCGCCATTGCCGGATCCGGCCGATGGGATGTGCTTTGCAGCCAGCAGTGCACTTTTGACACCCTCCAGGAAGACCTTATTATGAAGGGAAGTTCTTGCGGAGCCACAAAAAGGGACTGCCAGGTCCATGAAGTCAGGGTACTGGGTCGCCCATTGATAGGTTTGGGCTGCTCCCATCGACCACCCGATCACTGCTCGCGCATGAGTGATCTTTAGATGCTGTGTCACTAGCTGGTGTTGGGCACGGACGTTGTCATAGAAAGAGCATTCTGGGAAGGGTCCAGGATGGGCGTAGTTTGATGGAGAGGTCGATTGACCGTTGCCGAACAGCGCAGGGACAATAATGAAGTATTTCTTGGGGTTGAGGGTCTTGTCCTCTCCGATTAGCCAGTAGTTATCGGAGAGCACTAAGTAAAATCAGACGATTGTTAATCAATCAAGAGCAGCCCACAGACTACCTGAGGTATTTCAGAGATGGTACACGTACATCCAGAGAACCAAGAAGGATAAACAATTGCGGGGTGGGCGGGGTCTCCGAAGGTTTTGTATGCAAGGTGAGCATCAAGAAGCTTCTCTCCGCTCTGGAGCTCCCAGTCGCCCAGTTTGAAGGTCTCGTACTCTTCCTGCGACATTTTGCAGTATGCAAAATTATTATATTTGAGTGGGAAATAGGTTGCGCACAGGTGCGAATTGATGCAGTGATGCAACTCTGCGTGAGGGGATGGATGGGGGGAAGATGGTGCTGATGGGCTTGATCAATGGCGGCTACAATCGGGCTGGTAAGTTGCCGAATCCCCTCTTCTCCTGTCTGTCTCTTAGTCCTAGTCAAGGCTAGGTGTGATCATTGCTTGCACTTCCTACTACTGTTATCTATCAGCCAGTTTATCACATGGTCTCCTGGAGTGGAGGTGCTTATCGGATGTTATCTACGGAGTATCCTGATAAGCCCATTACTGTCTCGCTGTGCCTCTGAACCATCGTCTTGCTACTACTTTCACAGAATGCTGGCATATTAAAATGGAATTGATATATATCCATCCGACTACTACTCCTATATTGAATAGTAAGGTCGCTACTTTCTGTTTAATGGATGTACCTAGGATAACATCAAAAACCTGACACGCACCAGCACACATGAGATTCGCCCAGCTTGTCAACATCTATCAGTAAACCCAAACTTGAGAGGTAAGTCTGCAGGCAAGTACATGTTTATATGCTAATTATAGCTTAAGCACACAATAATAGTCATTAGTTGGGTATTGTGTTCCAATTTATAAATAACTATTACTGAGCCATTGTAGGGCATCGACCAAATCTAACCAACAAGGTCCGGGGGTATTAAATAAATGACGGCCACGGACTGGACTTTGTTCATGGCTTGGGATTGTATATGCAATAAAATATATTTGTAGAAGAATTATATTACTCTCTCTTCCTCCCTCTCTCTCTGTCTCTCTCCTAGTAGTATTTACCACGATACCACCGCGCAGCAGTCGAGCTAGATACTAGTACTAGTCATGCCGGCCTGTCACCGGTTAGACGATCGCCTTTCAGTGAGTCATGCTGCTACTACACCACAGAATCCCACCTGCAGACATCTCTAGTCGATTAAAACAGATACCATTCATCCAGAAAATCATCTTGCTTTCTACTTAGATTATAAAGATAGAATCTAATTGAATTCATACCTTCATTAGTATCTCTCCCCTCCACCATGTCGACCACCACCAGGAAAGCCCTCCTCCTCGGCGCCGGCTTCGTCTGCGAGCCCGTCATCCAAGCCCTCTCTGAAGCAGGCGTTCACGTCACTGTCGCCTGTCGCACTCTGCAGAGTGCTCATGCTCTAGCCAGTAACTACAAAAACACTACAGCCATCGCCCTCGACGTTTCCCGCGACGCTGCGGGCCTGAACGACGCCATCACCAACACAGACATCATCATCTCCCTCATACCCTACATCTACCACGCCACAGTCGTGGAGGCCGCTATCACGCATCGCAAACCCGTCGTCACAACCAGCTACATCTCCCCCGCACTATGGGCGCTCGATGAAAAAGCCAAATCCGCAGGAGTGACAGTGCTCAACGAAATCGGTCTAGATCCGGGCATCGACCACCTGTACGCTGTCAAGACAATCGACGAGGTGCATCGCGCAGGAGGGCAGATCCGATCGTTTACAAGCTGGTGTGGTGCGCTTCCTGCTCCTGACAATGCGGATAACCCGCTGGGGTATAAGTTCTCGTGGAGTCCGCGGGGTGGTCTTCTTGCATTGTTGAATTCGGCACAGTGGTACAAGGATGGGGAGCTGGCTACGGTGGAAGGGAAGGACTTGATGGCTGCTTCAGAGCCACAGAGTATAGTTGACGGCTTTGATAACCTGGTCGGATATCCGAATCGGGACGCGGTTGGGTTCCGTGATTTCTATCGTATTCCTGAGGCGGGCACTGTGTTTCGCGGGACTCTGCGCTATGCTGGGTTTCCGGAGATTATTCGTGCCCTGGTGGCTATTGGGTACTTTTCGCAGGATGAGATGTCCGCATTGAGCAGCACAGCATCCTCCTCTGTTACTTGGCTGCAGTTGACTGCACAAGTGCTGGGTCTGTCGGCCGAAACCTCCGAAGGAACTGTACAGGATGCTGTTGCGAAGAGGGTAGCTTCTTTCCTGTCGACCGAAGAAGTCAGTCGTGTGATCACTGGTCTTCGTTGGATTGGCTTATTCGATGCGAGTGCTGTGGATGGGCGTGGTACGCCTCTTAACACACTGTGTGCGGTATTGGAGCGGCGGATGGCCTACGAGCCAGGCGAGAGGGACATGATCATTCTGCAACATGCGTTTGACATTGAGTATGCGGATGGGTCAAAGGAAAAGAGAACGAGCACGCTTGTTGAATACGGAGAGCCAATTGCCCCCGGGTCGCGCAGTGCTATGGCGAAACTGGTGGGATTGCCTTGTGCAGTGGGCATACTGGCAGTAATGGAGGGTCGGATTTCGCAGAAGGGAATGGTGGCACCGTGGACGACAGTAGAGATAGCGCGTTTGCTGCGTGAGGAACTTAATGAGCGGTTTGGAATCAAGTTGGAGGAGAGGGTGGTCGGATAGTTTTGAATTTGATTCGCTGATGTGCGACAGCTAGCAGACTCCGTCTCTAGGGTTGATCACAAATGCGATACTGGGACCGAGCAGCAAAGTATCTAAACAGGGTGATTGTCAGTAATTGACCTACATTGAGCTGTTTTCTACATGAACATTCGTCTATGCGCAAGGGCTGCAGGCACGATAAACTGTGTAAACTGTGCTGTCAGTTCATTCTCCCAACAGTAAAAGGAAGCATCCAGTGTAACATATAGCGTTTTGACAGACTGGTCAATTGGAAGGCCGAGTTCACTGCGATCATGATTTTTAACCCGCGAGATCAACATGATCAGCCGTCGCGAAAAAATGGCACTGACTGTGATCCCGCGGGCTTATCTCAAGCCTTGGAAGGCTTGTGCTTTTCTTCCCGCCGGGCTCGGGCAACAACCCGACCCGGGGGGTGGAATCAACGCCCCCAAGCTTACTGCAGGCACACCTGCTGCAGGAATGTTTCACAGTGCGTCAGATGCAGCAGCTCAGAGGCATGTAAGCTGCTGGGCTGACTGACTGACTGGACTGTTAAGCGGATCCCCGCACGGCTACCATCCGTCGATGGAACTGGGGAAGTCGCCCTATCCATCCCTTATTCCCTCCTCTCCAGCAGGGTCGGTCTGCAATCTCCTTTTTCGGCCGTCAAAGCGGTGGTCATGGCTCGGACTGTCCTTTCCTCCGTCTTGACTATCCACTGGGTAATTTCTTCACTGATCTAATTGACTAGTTTGTGGAGCAAGACGACTGCTGCTAGAGGATAGTCATACGCGCCAAGTCACGCCCTAGCCGGTCGCATTTCACACCATGACCAGCTGCCATTTTCGTGGCAGAATCATCGAAGAAATCACAGCATGGGAAAGAAGTCAGATCAACCAGAGTTGACTGTGGATTCACGCATAATTATAGATCTTCCCCGCACACGAGGAATGTCCAGCCTGCATGTTATCAGTGGCTGAGCACCATCAGCCAAAAACGAGAGAATGATCGTCGTGAGGGAACTGCTCCATGGCAGGAAATGAGGGCGGACGCTACTAAACAAGCGCAATGATCCACGGCCTCACGCCATTCGTCCAATCACTCCAGAACCTGCAGTCCATCAGCCACCGGCGTGTCTTCAATCGTGATGGTGGTTGCAAGCTGATGCATGAGCACCCGTTCTATATTTGTCCTCCTTTTTTTTCCCTCTGGCTGGGTTTCTTAGTAGTCTTTAGTTGTTTAGTCTAGAGTCCGTCGTCGAGGGTTTGTCCATCCTTGCTTATCACAAAAAACCTCTAATATGTAGCTGTTGCATTCCTCACTCCACTGTCTGCTGCAGGCTGTGTTCTGCTACTTTTCCCTCCGATTCCAGTGAATTAGCTGCCTTTCTACATAGGCGTCCTATTTCACACTCGATCATGATCTACTAGACATCCTTCCTCCTATCCCATGTTAGAGAACCCACAGGATCAGTCGTGAGCGACCTTTTCGCAACTATGGCATATACCGTCGCTTCCACGGCATCAATGAGCACATATGGCTGGGATTCCACTCCAACTCTCTCACCACATTACTACAGTCTATCTCAGCAGCCATCACCTCAACCATCACCGCAACCACAACACCACCACCAACAGCCACATCTACAGCTACAGCTCCAACAAGACCAAACCGACCAAGAAACAATCAGCACATTCTGGCGATTCCTAGCCTCAAGTTCCTCTTACCTCGTACTAGCAGGGTACGCAACAAACCCTACCCTCGATAATGCATACAAACACCTTCATCCTAACCCATACAATCCAAAAAATAATAGCTTCCTAGTCCTCCCTTTAGCATTCACCACAACCTCCTCCAACAATTCCAACAATGAAAATACAACAACACCATCCACCGACCCAACAACCACCATCATCGCCGCATCAGTCCTAATCGCAATCGGCTACACAATAACCCTCATGCTAATATACTTCCAAAGACACGAGCGCCAATACCTCCTCCACTCTATATACATGTACATCCCCCTCCATCCACCCCTTTACATCCCCAATTAATCATCCATTAACATAAAAAACCAAAAACCCAAGACCAAACACAACAACCTCCCTCCTCTCCCTCCTCAACATCCTCCTCAACATCCTCTGCCGCAATCCAACCCAATCGCCCGGCCCATTATCCCCGCTCCAAACAACCAGCCTCGTGCTACCTAGTGTCTTCGCGTTCCTGTATGCCCTGGGCGCATTATCCATTTACGCACGTGACATGTGCATCTTCACCACTACCACCACCAGCAGCAGCAGCAGCAGTGGTGATGGTTATAGAGGCCGCCAACGGAATAATAACAAGAAAAAGGGCAAGAATAACCAACTACTACCACTAACAGAGGAGGAAATGCAACGGCAGCAGCTGCAGCGATTGCTGGATCAGAAGAGCTCGAGTCCTAGACGGGGACCCAGTCCTAGGGTCGTGCAGAAGACGTTTCGCGTTAGTGCGCCGGAGAGGATTAATCCTGGGAAGGGGTGGGATACGTTTACGCCGGATTTGAGGATTGATGGGAGTGGGAACGGGAATGGGAATGGTGGTGAGCATGGGGGTGGGAGTGGGAGTGGGAGTGGGAGTGGGAGGTGGGCGTGATTCTTTATTGATTGTTTCCTGTGTCAAGATGGAGGAGCTTGATGGGATGGGATGGGAAGGGTTGTTATCGTTGAGGTGGTCTACTGAGTGATAATTATAATATGAAGGTAATGTGTCAATTGACTATAATTTATGCATAGTATGTCGAGTGCTGGAATGTGATGTCTCGGGTGGCTATATCCTCCTGAGCGGCAATTGGAGTAGACCGGCCATGAGGCTAATCTATTGGATACTGCATGGCCATATCGCATCTAGTCACAGGGTTACAGGATGAGGGAATAACGACTCTTAAAGAGAACTTGGCTGCTCAGTGTAAGTTCACTTTTGACTATTCATATACAGACACAGATATCAGATGTTGCTCTATTCCATTTGCAATCTCCAGACTTCTCTTTTTACCAGAAAAATCTATTGAAAACACTGTTTACGCAACGCAGGTCTAGTGAGCATTATAATACACCAAAAAGAATTCCTTTATCACTTCCCCATCTATTTGGAGATCTCAACACCACCGGTGGCACCGAGGACACGCTTGATGTCACCGTAGATGGCGAACTGACCAGCAGTCAAGGTACCAACCATGAACAGACGAGCACCGATACCGGCGTAGGAGCCACGGAAGCCGAGCTCCTTACCGATCTTGATCAGACGGGAGACGGTACCCTCACCGGGCTCACCAGGGGTCTTGTTGATCTTGGAGAGCATGGTGTCGGCGGGCTGGGAGACAAGGGCAGCAGCGAAACCAGCAATGAGACCGGAGCCAAGGTTGATAGCAGTCTTGGTACCATCGCTGGCGGTGTTCTTGTCGACCATACCGTAGATAGCCTCAGCAGCCTTCTCGAAAACGACGAATTTGGCCATGGTGTAGGGAACCCTGAGAGATTTTTAGCATATGACTTGACGTTTCTGCTACATCAAGGGGAACTTACTGCTTGAAGAGGATAGGACCGAAACCAGAGTAGAAAGCACCGACACCCTCGTTCTTGAGGATCTTACCGAAACCGCTGACAAGACCGGTAGCGAAAGTGGGCTGGGAGACGAGACGGATACGGGTGGCCTCAAGAGGGCAGAGAGCGATATCAGCGAAGAACTCAGCGGCAGCGGAGGAAGCAAGGTAGACAGCGGTGCGGTTGTTGGAGGCAGTCTCGAGACCGAGCTGGTTGATCCACTGCTGCTTGAAGAACTCGTAACCACCGAACTTGAAAGCACCCTGGAGGAAGTAACCGGCGGCGGTAGGGCCGAGACCAGTGAGGAGAGCGCCAGCACCCTCGTTGGCAATGACCTGACGGAAACCGCCGATCATACCACGGTTGTAGGTGACGGGGTCAAGCTGGATTCTGGTCTTGACGCTGCAGGACGAAAGAAAGAGCACGTCAGCAACGGGCTTCTGGAAAAGGTCGTCGAGATGGAACAACAATCGAGTCGCACACTCGGTCGGAACAAGGCGCGATCGAAAGCGACAAATCGACAAATCGACAAACGGCGACATGATCCGACTTACACATCGACAGGGGTGAGAGCACCGTGGGTGACGGAGCAGCAGACAGCACCAGCGAAGGCGAATCTGGAGTACAGCTGGAGGCCGGAGAGCTGGGGAGCAGGGGCGGCGGCAGGCGCCTCCAACTTAGCGTTGGCAGCCATTTTGTGTGTATGGGGGGTATATGAAAAGAAGAACAGAAGAAAGGGAAGAGAGGAGTGTGGAGAAGAGAGGGAAGAGGAGAGGAGAGCGAAGCAATTGAAGCTTTGCAGAGTTTGGGAAAGAGAGGGAAGAAAATGGAGACCCGGAAGGAAGAGGATTTGAAAGGGATGGCCGGCGGGCTGCTTTGGCACTAGCGGCATCCGAACCCGAAAACTTTTCGCGGCCAATGCGTGCCTTGCCACAAAGCCTTTAAATCCGATCGCCCGGTCAACCAACAAATGAACGAGCGAACAATAACCCCGTCATTGAGCACCAGCGTTATAGTCCCCATCTGATTGACAGCCAGAGAGGATCAATCCCTCCCTCCGTCATAGCATCGAATTGTTTTTGTGTTTGATGTGCTGTTGAAGATCGGTCACCTGCGGTGTTCCACCCTTAACTCCGGTTCTTCCGGGCAGGGTCTTCAGTAGGGTGACTAGGGTCAGGTGCAGGCCAGGGAGACGGGGAAATGGCAATAATCTTTTTGAACTATAACGGGATTTTTTATAGTAGAGTATCTCAGAAAACGACTTGCTACGATGTGCTCTTGAACCCAAACACTTATCATCTTCTCATCACTGTTTGATCTCTCGCGATTTAGTTTACCGAGGTCTAAGACAATGATAAGCCAGGTATTGCGACAACGGCAGCCTCAGGCATACAATGTTTGAAAATTCGCATCAACAGGAAACATCCTCCCTTTTCTGACCATGGTTCCTGCGGCAAACTGAAACCGTCGAATATATCCCCTTTCGCCTCTTCCGAAACCTCTCGACAAAGTTAAGAGAAGGGTCTGGTTCGGCAAATAACCATTCCATCCTCATCCTCAAGTGACGAAACCTGCCATGGCCGCCAAGCCGTGCTGCCCACTGATTGGTGCACTTTTCTCCTTTCGGTCAACGGTAAGCCGACGGAGAACTTCTTGTTCGGTTCATAATAATTTTGTGCGCATGCATCCCCTCAGGCATCAACATTTCATCCTCGGATTTGGTGTCTAGCGTTGCGACGCGATTGATGCGTTACATAGACCAGTATACGTGGTGAAATCTGCCAGGAACGCTCCAGAAAATATAGGAGAACTTCACTGGAGTTATGGTTTGCGCCCGACAGGCACAGCAACCAGCCCCATTTACTATTTAAAGTATCAACGCACTAAAAACAGGAGGCTTAAGTGGCTGTTCTCTGATCGACCATCATGCCTTAAAAATCATACAAGACAGCTATTCCCAATATGACGTGTTTTGCAGTACACAGTTGATATATCTGAGATCTGAACAACAGTGGAGGTGATTTTCTTTAGCACAAAACTTAATCCCTCTCAACTTCGCACTCGAAATAGGATACCTGTCCTTCCTGTTCACCCTTTCTGGTACTGTTTCAAGAAGTAGGAAGTACTGCGTTTCTCCATGTTATCTTTCCTCCTATGTTGCCATCCTAAGAAGAGGAGGGAGAGACAAATATGGAAGCAGATTGAAGGTTAGCATCCGTAATCATCAAGTTGCATCTTCTTAGGATTTGAACCCACGCTTATGTGTGTCCACCAACAGAGGAAGCTGAGCACTTGGATCAGCTTCCATCATGGGATGCTCCCGACAACACATTGATGTTGCAAGCCTTTGAATGGCACGTGCCAGCCGATCAAGGTCATTGGCGTCGTCTTCACCAGGCCTTGCCAAGCTTCAAGGCAATTGGGGTAGACAACATCTGGATTCCGCCCGGGTGTAAAGCTATGAATCCATCTGGTAACGGGTATGACATCTATGATCTGTATGATTTGGGGGAGTTTGAGCAAAAAGGGTCTCGAGCTACCAAATGGGGTACAAAGGAGGAGCTTCAGTCCTTGGTAGCTGCCGCCCAGGATCTTGGTATAGGGATTTACTGGGACGCTGTTCTCAATCACAAGGCGGGAGCAGATTACACAGAGCGCTTTCAAGCTGTCAGAGTTGACCCAGAGGGTATGCCAGCTCTGCCATTATTAGCTCGTGCACATACTAACTTGAGGGCTCTAGAGCGTAATATGGAGATCGCTCCTGCAGAAGAAATAGAGGGCTGGGTGGGGTTCAACTTCTCTGGACGTGGGAACCAATATAGTTCGACGAAGTACAACAAACACCACTTTAGCGGTATTGACTGGGATCAGTTACGCCAAAGGAGAGGGGTCTACAAGATTCAGGGACATAAATGGGCGAACGACGTCGCCCATGAGAATGGAAATTACGACTATCTCATGTTCGCCAATCTAGACTACTCTAACGCAGAAGTACAACGCGACGTCCTAAACTGGGCCGAGTGGCTCAATTCTCAACTGCCTCTTAGTGGTATGAGACTGGATGCGGCCAAACATTACTCGGCTGGTTTTCAGAAAGAGCTTATTGATCATCTCCGAGCTATTGCTGGGCCAGACTATTTTATAGTGGGCGAATACTGGAAAGGCGAGACCAGGCCGCTGGTTGAGTACCTGAAGCAGATGGACTACAAACTATCATTGTTTGATTCCGCTCTAGTTGGGCGGTTTTCAAGCATTTCACAGACACCAGGAGCGGATCTTCGCAACATCTTCTCTGATACATTAGTACAGCAGTATCCAGATCATTCTGTCGTAAGTCAATTGTCATTCTGATGAGATCTCTTACTGACTACTGGAAGACTTTCGTTGCAAACCATGACACTGTAGGTGCAATGTCTCCATCCACCTCACTCGACTAACTTAGGTCCAAAGCAACCAGGACAATCTCTCGAGGTACGTAAACAGCACATTTTGGCTTAACAGATCTAACACATGGCCAGGCACCAGTAACATCGTTCTTTAAGCCCCTCGCATACGCCCTGATTCTTCTCCGTGAACAAGGGCAACCATGCATATTCTACGGAGACCTCTACGGCCTCCAAGCTGACGTCAAAGACCCAATGACACCTTCCTGCAGGGGCAAGCTGCCCATCCTCGCACGAGCTCGAAAGCTTTACGCATATGGCCTGCAACGAGACTACTTTGACAAGCCGAACTGCATTGGTTAGTACCTGCTTCATTATCCTCCACCGCAGACTGACAGGATAGGTTTCGTCCGCTACGGCAACCGTCGGCACCCCTCTGGTCTCGCATGCGTGATGAGCAACACAGGCCCATCAAGAAAGCGGATGTATGTTGGTCGACGACACGCCAAGGAGACATGGACGGACATTCTGCAGTGGTGTGATCAGACTGTTGTCATTGATTTCAAGGGATACGGAGAGTTTCCAGTTAGTGCGATGAGCGTGAGTGTGTGGGTAAACTCCGAGGCTGAGGGAAGAGATAGCCTTTCATATCATTTGTATGTCTTCGCTTGTAGTCTTGAGTATTGATGATATACTGACGAGTACTGAACAGTGATGAGGATATATACAAACTAGCTTAGTTGTCTGGGATCCGTGACATCTATATAATAAAGTACTACCCAATCAACACACTGCAGTCACAACCAACAATCAAACCAACAACGGCGTATCGAAACACCCAAACCCCTTAACCACACTCATCTCATCCACATCCGCAAACTTCGTCTTCAACGACCACCCCACAGTCTCATTCCTTAAAATCTCCCCCTTCTTCCAAATACAAAACCCAAACACCCCCAATTCCGAAACCACATCCGACTCCTCCACCCCCATCCTCGACATCAGCACATTTCCCACAACCGGCGGCCTAATCCGCTCCATCAACACATACCTCCCCCACTCGGATTCAGAACCCATCCCCAAAAGAAACCCCGGGATATCTTCCCCGTAGACATTATGTCCCCCGCCTTCGAGCGACGGCTTCAGAATATACCTCCACGCTGTTTCAGGATCCGTCGCCAGCCCCCGCGCAAAACGCCCCTCCTCAGAATCACCATCCATCGGGTACATACCCACAAACGTATCTCTAATAGCCAATACCTTCTCCTCCGAATCAAGAAACCTCTCCAACACCCCCGGAGCCATCAGAGCCTGCTGCACCTTCTTAAATGTCAACACATGTCCCAGCACCGACGGACACTTGATAGCCCGTGACTGCTCCAACCTAACCCGACATGCTATCCCGACGGCATCATACTCATGCACTTCGAGCCCAGCGCGCAGATACACAACCGATATCTCCACCGGCTTGCTACCTTCACCCTGTAAATGCGGATAAAACAGCAACTCCCTGTTCCCGCTAAGACAAGTCCTCTCCAACACATCATCCCCCCACTCAACCCTATACGTCGGGACAGGGCTCTCCCTATCCCAGAGCGCATATTCAATAGGCAACTCATCAGCAACGTTGAAGTTATTCGGCTGGACGACGAAAAGCACCCCTGTCTTGGTAGCCAGATCGCTCCTAACCGGGCCATATATATCATGCGCTGTAGCAAGAGAATCAGCTAAGCCTTTGATATTCTCATTCGTAGGCAGAGAGGATAGCGTAATCGGACTCTTCCTTTCCTCCCCATTCGCCCTTGACAAAGAATCATCATACACCCCCGTCCTCGTCAAATACCGATGCATATCCACCACCTTATTCGCATGACATCCTCCCGCGCACGCGATGGTGTTGAACTCGACTTGCTTCAATTGTAGCAGTCCTTGCTGAGCATTTTCGCTCTCGTCGAGGAGGCTATTCCCAACCTCAACTTCAACTTCCTCGTTGTAATCTCTAGGGACATGAAGCATATAATCCGACCGGAATAACCCCATTGAGGTATCGGACCCGTACCCCCCTCCTCTTTTACTCTTCACCAGCAACTGAATCTCCCATAATATCCTCGCGAAGGGGTCTACAGGGAGGAGAGGTTTAATGACGGCATCGTACAGCCAGGACTCGTTGTCTGAGAGACGGGCGTAGAGTTCGTTGTAGATTGGTTGGAGGGTGTGCGCGTGGTGGAATAGGCTCTTGGGGAAGGGGGTGGGGAAGATGCTGGTGGAGATGGGGTAGCTGCTGCTGCTGGTTATGTTGTGGGAGGGTTGGGGTTGGTTGAGCGAGATGTGTTTTAGGTGCATGCCGTGGGTTAGTTGGTAGTTGAGGATTTGGGTGGTTAGGTGGTCGCTGAGGGGTGAGGGGGTCGTGGGGGGTACATTTTTGTGGTGGTGGTGGTGGTGATGAGGTTGTTTTGGGGGTGTGAGTTGGTTGCAAAATAGTTGTGGTCTGATGGGTGTGTTGGAGGTTATTGTTCGATTATATGTGTAGTAGTTGAGGATGAGGATAAGGCTGAGGGTGCAGTGTGTGCACTGCCTCGTTTCGTGGGTGTTTGGCTGGTTTGAGAGGTGGTCTTGTAGCTGCTGGGTTGTTAAGATTCAATTCTACGAGCTGGAGTTGTTCTGGTGTTTGAGACAATTTACATTTAGTATACCTCCATCAAGGAAGATTGTTTATAGATGGTGGTACTAGTGATGAAATATAGCGCGATGAGATAGTAAGTAGGGTAAATATATACACAGAAGTTATACTTCTTGAACTTCTCTGTAAACCCTTGATCTACTTGTATACCATAGCCTTCTTTGCCAGTAGTATATCAGTAGTAGTTTGAATATTACTATGCACACTGCCGGATAGTATATTGAGCTTCAAATGGTAAGTAGGACTACTAGTAATATATTCCCGAAAGAGGAGGGGTATAAGCAACGTCATAGATCCATCCCCGTCCTACTCGTTGGTGTGTAGTGACTGCCTCACGACACAGCCACTTATGTACTCACTTACTATCCAGCACTATCAAAGCTGGTTTGTATCACTGATAACCCATCAGAAGCCAAGTTCTACAAGCTGGCAACGGAGTGGAATCCGGCCGTGGATGCCGAGGACCTCGCATTGCGGGGTCCTTTCGGCGCTGACAAACCCTTATCGGCCCGGAAGTCGGTAGTCACAGTCTAATCCCACGCACTTTTCTACCTCCAAGGCGTTCCATTTGGCCGTGGAATCTACGTCCAACAGCGGTCTGCGGTCGTGGAATTAAGCATCGGTCAACCTGGCCCGGATGGAGTGAACACCTGCGCGCCCAACTAACGCAATGTCATCAGGACAGAAAAGTGTCTTTGCCATCCTCATGCGACGCTCCATCTTCTCTACAGTCTCCTTCGTTTCCAAGCTACCTGTCAAGTTTCAGTAAGTAACCCCTACAGCAGTTTCCCTGTCGCCGACTATCCTCGATTCACGGAGAATCGGCGCCGGTGGGAGTGCCAACCCCACGGTTAACCCTTGCGCATACTGACATCAGGCAGTAACTGCAGGATACCACCTTGTCGCCTAAACCTCCACAACCCCTCTCGAGCGTTTAGCCAAACATCCACCATGTTCAAAGTCGGAGACGATTTCGAAAAGCTCCAAGCCTCCCGGCCCGAGTTCAAGCGTGACGTGCCCGTTACTTTCTCGCAGCCGCCGAACCCCAGCTGGAAGCAGGGAGAGGGCGCCAACGATGGCGGTGAGAGCCTGAAAAAGAACCACATCGAGATCGATCCCTACGAGGAAGGGCGACCGGCTGCCTCCAACTATAAGCTGCTGATCTCGGGCATCGTCCCTCGTCCGATCGCGCTCATGAGCACAAAGTCCAAGGATGGAAAGACAACAAACTTGGCGCCGTTCAGTTATTCGAATGTCATCAACCATGACCCTCCGCTCTTCACGGTCGGAATTGTTGGCTCCCTAGAAAAGGCCAAAGACACATTGAAGAACCTGGCGGAGACGGGCGAGTGTGTGATCAACATCATTTCGGAGCATTTCGTCGAAGCTGCCAATGCAACAGCCATTAACGCTCCCTACGGAGTCTCCGAATGGGAAGTTTCCGGGCTCACCCAAGCACCTTCTGCCGTGGTTCAGGCGGCCCGTGTGAAAGAGTCCATCCTGGCGATTGAAGGCAAGCTGGTGGAAACCAAGGAATTCGAGAGCCGGTCTACGCCCGGCAAGATATCCGGAGTGCTGGCGATCATTGAGGGTGTTCGTTTCTGGGTGAGAGAAGATGCGATCAACGAAGACAAGAGCATTGTCGACCTGAAGGTGCTGAAGCCTATTAGTCGGCTGGGAGGCATTTCGTACGGGCGGACCACCGACGCGATTGAAATCCCAAGACCGCAGTTCTAGATTCGGCTTAGATCCTGGCCGTTGCGATAAACTAGTGACCGTGGTACCTCGCTTCGAGACAGTGAGGGGCCGTTGAAAGCTCCGTATAGCCTCGGTTCATCGTATACAACTAGAATAGTCAACTCGAATATTTAGAAGATAGATTTAGTCAGTTAGAGAGTTTGGAATAGATCGTGAAACTCAAAAGCCGCTGAAAAGAAGAATCACCGCGATGTGCTTGCCAGCACTGTTAATTGTAGAAATAGCCGAAATAGAGATCGGAGAGAGGCCGACCGTGGACTGAAGCGTGGGGATGGGGAAGTGGATACGTGCCATTTAAGGTAGGAGAAATTCCGGGCCTCCGGACGGAGAAAATGGAGGAGAGAGTCCACTTTTCCCCTCCCCAGACGGAGTCCAGACTCTAAGAGTCGAGGCGATCAAGATCCAGGTGCTTGGGACTTGGAACAACAATGCAAACAAGGCTTCTGGGATGTTTCGCCTTGGAACAAGGATAGTTGTCGTATCGTCCATTCCAACCTTCCTGAAAAGGCATAACTTCTGAGACTGACTGACTCTGACTCGCTCAGATTACTTCACTCGTATGCAGTTCTTCCCTCCCACACTATGGTACGACGGTGCACTAGTCGTTGTCTAGTCGGTACGACACGGTAGTTGGGTCCAGTCCAGTAGTGCCCATAGCATCTAGTCATGGCTGGCGTGTCCCAGTTCTTAATAATAACTAAGCGGGTAACTAGTTAACGTCAACACTTTGCAAGTCACATGGACCACTAGCGATGGGGCAAAAGACGGGGATGACGGATCAGAGCCAAGTTACTTTTTCCTCCGGGGAGGTTTTCTGCTGTGATCAATCCTTCAGTTCTGTCCCTGATCCCTTCGGTATGTGTGACGGGACTCCGCTTAGGGTCGGATCGAATGATCCTTGAAGGAGCGTTGTGGTTTCATCCTGCCTACTTTGTAGTAGTTTCCATCATTTTCCGAGTGAACGAATCAATACGAAAGGGTGAGAGGCGAGAGACGGGCCAAGCGAGGCCGGTCACTAGCTACTACTTTACTAGCCAGCGGTCATCCTCCCACTTGGCCTTGGAGGGTTGAAAAAAAAAAAAACGAGGCATCTCGTGATCGGTAGAAAACAAAGAATTCCCATCGAATCCAGCATCCCTTCTAGGCGGTCAGGCTAGAATTGCTTGGGCCTTGCCTTTTGAGGTGGCTTATTTTTCCGACGCGCCTGAGGAGCGCAGGAGAACCAGAGCAGCCAAGGGCTTAGCTGGCCGATTCTCGACCCAACAATCAATCAGTCAATCAATCAATTCCTCTGCTTCCTTCCCCCCCGGTTGACTTGCCTACGTACTGACTGTTAAACACTAGTCCCTTACTAACTTTAGTTATACTTCTGCGTGGTGTGTCCCTCTGGCGCAAGCGTGACCAGGTACACCTTCTACTAACTTTCGCTGCTCTGCTTCTCTTTTGCTGTTCCCGCCGACGCCCTACGGGGAAGAAACAAATAATATCATTCGCAGCATAAAAATTGCAGGGGATTATTGACCAAATAGGAAAAGAAGGGGAAAAAAGAAAAAAGGGAAAAAAAAAAAAAAAAGAAATTCAAACGAGAAAAAAAATAATAAAATAAAAAATCTACCAACTAAAAGGAAAAGGAAACGAGCGTGAGACAGGGAGTGAGTGAACTCACCCTCTTTTCTCCCCTCACCCACTTCCGCTTCTTTTTGCCTCTCTATCCCGCAACAGTCTTCACCGGACACGACGTGGGATCAAGACAATTTACGTCCATGGATTTTTCTCTCTACTTGGTGCTCCCATCCAAGGCTCTTCAATACCGCCGTTCTCCTCGACCTCTTCACTCTCCGCTGGCGATTCCCTTGTGTCTTATCCTTGGGAACGATCGTTCACCCTAAGTTCTACACCCTTACAAGCAGATGCCCAATGTGTCGTGACCCCGGATGATAACTTGCTCGCAATGAGCCACCCTTCTCCCCAGAAGAACGGCGGCAATAATGTTCCCCCTCCAAGACAAATCCGCTTCGTTTCAACTGATGGACAGCCCCAAACTAAGCGGCGACGAGTTAATGCGGCGTAAGTCATAGTCGCCCTCTCTTCTCCCCCCATGCCCCCGGTCTGCTCATCCTGTGATGAATCTAACCTGATCGCTCCCCCGTGGGGCCAACCATAGATGTCTGACGTGTCGCAAGCGCAAAATCCGTTGCTCCGGCGAACAACCAGGTAACCAGTGGCTGATATTAGACTTGATCATGGCCATCGTTTAACTCATTTGCTTGAATGCATAGTGTGCAAAACATGTTCCGATTACAACCACATCTGTCAAGGGTACAGCGAACCGTCTGCCCACGCCCGGTCACAATCCGACGCGGCATCACGAACTCCTACAATTGCCCCTCTACCGCCTCCCAGTGATGCGACTGCCTTGCGCGCGGCGCGAAAGGCCGCAAGTCGCTCCCCTAGTTCTCCGCGCCGAACCATAGTACCTATTACTGACGGTGTCGATAAGCCTTCCGAAGCACTCAAATTGCTGGAGCCGAAGGAGGAACCCCTGCCGACTGACACATCTTCGCGGACAATAAAAGAACTCGAGCAACAGAACAACGGGGCCAGTCCAGAAAGCAGTATGTTATGGCACTTTTCCAACTTCTCGAATGCCTTGTATGAGTGGTCATGGCTTATCAGACTCTTTATCGTCTAGGTCGCACCTCGCTAAGTACCAGCGCACGCACTCATGTGCCCTACTTTAGGTATTTTGGGCCCACAGCTATTGTCCCTGGCTTCAAACAGATGGTTCGCATACATACTCCAAGATAATGCCCCGAGGTCGCATCGGTTAACGCCCCCTACAGGTCGTCCAGGTGCGAGGATCGCGCAAGAGCAATCCGTCACTGTCATCAGGTCCGCACTCCTGACTATTTCACTTTTATTGGCTTCTGCAGGCGACTGGTTTGCTTTTTACCCGCAGGCCTATCAAGTCTAGCGACACTACCTTGCACGCCTAGCTAACCCATTGATTTTTCTCAATGCAGAGTCTCTGTCTCCCCTTCGTAGTCCCAAATTCGCAGATGCAGGCATGAACAACGTCAGCACATTACCCGATACCAGAGACACCCGTGATTACAACAACATTCCGTTTTATGATCGCGATGATTCCCTTTCTGTCAGCAACTTGGTGATGCACTTATGTGATCTATTCTTCGTGCATCTCGGGTGCAGTTTTCCGTTCCTGCAGCGAGACAGGTTTCTGCGCGACCTGAAAGACAAAAGGGTAGACACCATGCTTGTGGACGCCGTTTGTGCATTGTCCGCAAGATTCTCCCCGCACCCACTGTTGAGTCCGCCTCAAGCTCCAACCATCGATGGCTCTGAGCCGCAGATCGATTTGAAGAAGTCCACTCGCGGGCAACCATTTGCCCACAGAGCCATGAGCGCCCTAGTCGATACCCTCTCGTGCCCTACGCTCTCCGGAGTGCAAGCGTGTCTATTGCTTGCTTATGACGAGTTCGGCTCGAACCATGATAGTGGGCTTTGGATGTACCTAGGCATATCCATACGGATGGCCCAGGATCTGGGAATGCAGAAGGTTCAAGGTTTGGAGTATGATTATGGCCTGAGCGGGGTCACTCCAAATGCAGTAATGACTGGGCAGGCTGGCAAGTTGAGAGATGACCAGTATGATGAGCCTCAAATCTCCCCAGGGTCCGCCCGAGATGTGCAAGACACCGAAAGCCGACGAGCTCGGGAGCGTGAACGGGTTGACAGCTTCTGGAGTATCTTCTTCCTTGACCGAGTGATTTCATCCGGAACAGGCAGACCAGTGACCTTACGCGACGAGGACATAGAACTTTGCTTCCCACTTCAGTCCGAGTCCCGGTTGGCAAATGGATGGCCCGCGCCATTTCCGCCGCTTATCCGTATTATCCACTTGTACGGAAGAGTGACGGATCTCATCAACGGCATACAAGATGTCAATCATGTAACATCGGATACACTGAAAATGCTGGCCGGTATGGAGAGTGATCTGACAGGTAGGGCCAAAACTCCACGACATTCATTGACAAAAAGCTAAGAATGATTTCCAGGCATATACCAGCGCCTGTCGCCTCGACTCCACTTCAATGCGGCAAATTTCCAGGCGTACGTCAAGGCGAAGGAAGGAACCAATTTTATCCTCCTTCACTTTGTAGGTTTCGCCCTCGAATGTCTTGTTTGCTCCAGGACTGACCTGAACGCAGTGGTTTCATACGCTGATCGTCCTACTTCACCAACCTACGCTTCTGAACTCCTTTGGGGGGACTATCCAACATCTTTATCCGAACAGCAGGGAACTGTCGATGTCATCCGCTAAAACTATCGCCGATATACTGTCTTTCTCCGAGCTCGTAGACGGGAAAAGTTTCATCGGCAACCCTTTCACAAGCCAGCCAATGTACATTGCCGCATGTGCTTTCCTGATGGAGAGTGCTTATTATTCGTCACCCTCTTCAAGATCTGGCTCGCCTCCAACGCAGCCATTGCTGGCAAACCAATCCAGTGGATTCGTGATGCCGAATATGGATTCTTCAAGTGGAACTGATCGGAAGCCGACCGCCAAACACATACTTCTTGCATCGGCCGCAAAGGAGAATTACCAACGGTGCTACAAAGCGTTAAAGGCGCTTGAGACGTATTGGGAGGGCACAAAATATATTCTTACGGTATTAGATCAAAAGGCCAAGGGAATAGTTGATCCGCTCCTGTATACTACTGAGGAGATGGAGAGTGCAGTCGAAGTGTCTGCCGTCCAACCCTTTACTGCGCCCCCTTGGCGGCGTACGCAACCCTCCTTGCCCGCTTCAGGCGAAGGAGAACGTCCAGCAGATGTCCATACGCATTCGGATGGAGCACGGTCGCCAAAGATTGACCCAAGTCAAGGTGAGCTCTTTCTTATTTATCTTCGAAAAGAAGGACGAGCTAATTCTTCTTAAGCTATTGGGTGGGCGTTGACGGGTGCAACCAATTCGTCTCAACCAAACCTGAGTCTTCTGTATCAGCTACCCGCCCAGGCCGAGCCCGTATCAGACAAGCCAACATACTCATCCCAGTATAGCCATAGCTACCCTCATCTTCCCGTACAATCTGGTGATAATCAAAACCCGAATTCTTATCCACAGCCTCTGGAGCCAACCAGAAATAGAGGGACTTCGACGAGCACATCGATGGCACCCGGCCCGGAAAGATTCTCGCCTCTTGCATCCTCTGGACAAGTCACAACTTCTGACGCCAATTTGCTCCTTGGCTTAAATACTTCGTTCCCAAGTCCCGACTCCCGACCCCCAAACACGCGATCAGCGTACAATCATCCTTCTTCTAGGTTTGAATCTCAGGCGCCTAGCTTTAACTATAGCTTACCCGCTGGCAGCGACCAGCAACCTGGGGACGGCCAGATGAACGCACGGACAGTTCTCCACCCTGCTGTGGGCTCCCATGCAGGGGACATATTCATTCAGAGTCAAGACATCGACATGGCCACGCTTCAGCAACAAGATCAGCTCCCCTTTACTTTCACTGGAGAAATCCTTCCATGGCTGGAATATCTGCCGCAAGACGTTCTTAATTATTTTGGAGAGCATCAAAATTACCCTGCTCTGATGAGTCCTCATGATGAGACGCCACAAGCTCCCCATTGAGTGTATACTTTGCTTATTATTCATGCGATTTTACTTACCCGAGCGAGCGTTGTCGTTCTTGTGATTAAAGTTGAGGTTTCTCTGGCGCCTGGGTGTCATATGGACACGTATCTCACAGGCGGAAAATTCAAAGCGATAAATCTGCTGGTTGGATGTCATTCGATGTAATTTGGCTCTGAATGTTTGGAAATGTTGCATGATCCAAGTCTTGCATTGGCGAGCATGCTCCAGGGTGTCTCGGGTCGATTACTGTATGATTCGGGGCAATTTGTGATTTAATGAGTGTGAGCGTGTTCGTATGTTACTATTGCTGAGACGTGTAATTGTAGCTAACTATAACCCCGGATTCAAGTCTTATCACTTTCTGCCTCCTCCAGCTTTGAGCGTTAGTTTTTAGTGATGATGGGGATCCCCAGAGTAAAGCGGAGCCCATCAGCCAGTCAGAAGCATTGCAGGGATGTGGTTGCCCATCACGACCGGGCGGTGAGACAACACGCAACAAAGCATCCAATGCCCCCCGATCGCCATCTCCAACAGCTTCTCTTTGAAACTGAATGGTATGCGACCTAGAATTCCATCTTGCTTCCATCTAGCGTGGCCCATCGAAGCTCAACATTCTTCGTGAGATCCACAGGCTCACTGACGGCCTTGTACTGGTGCTTGGATAGTAGTGGGGAACCATTTCCTTTTATACTTTATCTTGGTCTATACGATTTTATGACAAACCTCCATGGACGACCACTCTGATGACCCGCAATTAACTGAATATGCAGTTCGTACAGGCGAACCAACCGACCTATCTCAAGGCTTTGTCTACGACCAGCACCGACCGGCTTCCCCGAAGTTTTCAACGACTCTATACGGACATCATGCCGACATCGGTCCTTCCACTGAAGATACACAAATGTTAGTTCACGACGGCGGTTACAATTCCTCAGATTCATCTACACAGCTTTCTGGTCATCTATTGAACGACGATCTGAATGACGGCCACAAACACCAACGTTCCAGAGCTTCGAGTCGCTCTTCGGTCTCGTCGATCCCTGCCTCGGTGCTCACAAACATGGCGGATGGAATGAAGACGGCCATACATGACAATATGCTCTCTCACAGTTGGCAGGACCATGATAGCAAGGCGCATAACGGACATCTGCGCTCGATACGGCACCGGGAAGCCGCTTTCCGGAAGCCAAGCTCGGTAAAAGCAATGCAGATGCACACGGAGGATGAAGGAGATGATGAATACCTGACCCCACCCAAGCGCAGAGGTGGCCAGCGCTTTTCGGACATTTCGATCAGGTCTGCCGGTTCATCGCCACTGAGAAAGTTCCATCATTATTCACCGTCAGGGTCTGCAGGTAAGCCCAAGGTTAAAAAGGAGTATCCACTGGTACTTCTACACTGTAACCTGCTTCCACCCTCTCTTCCTGTGCCAGGCGCGATGGGTTACCACAACCAGAAGATACTCCAAGAGGTTTTGCCTCCGGAGTATTGGAGGCGCTGGAAGCTGCTGGAAGAGAAGGTCGGATCAGGTGTGCTCCGTGAGCGTGGGGTGCTTATCTCTCACCCGGAGGACCTGTACGACTTGCTAGAAGAGCGGCTACTGGAGAGTCTAGAGCTACAGCGCCCAAGGCTAGATCATGGCCATTTCCTGGGACATGATGAGAACGACTCTGATAGGGACGATCAGTCTGTAAGAGAGAGCGCTACTGACGAGGAAGAAGGGGAGGAGTGCCCCGATTGTGGAGGACACGTGGTGCGCCACAATAACGAAGGCAGAAAATGGGAGATCAAGGTATTCGCAGCCAATGGACTGATGAGAGCTGGGGCATGGGCAGCGGCTTGGAAGGAAATGGAAAAGGTCGATGTTGAAGTTGGCCTTTGGCTTCCTTCGGAGATCAGGAGGGAATTGGAGAGGCGACTTTTGGAGCAAGAGGTGGATCACTTTGAGAATCGATTGCAGGTGCCGCATTTGCAGGCGCCCGAACATGAAATGTCCGCTGAAGCGCGCTGCCCCTCGCTACATGGCCGTACACCTTCCTCGGCAATTGACGAGCCCAGTTCTTTTGTTCCGGAACCTATCGAATCCGCCCCAGTTACAGAAGAAAAAGCTGCTAGAGAGCAACGAATGCCGGAGCCTCAGTATGTTCCGCGATCAAGTGACGATATCGATCTACAGACATTGCTGGTGAACTACGTTCGAGTACTGGCTAGTGACCGACGCAACGTCGCAATTGCCGTGCTCAGCCTCCTGGTTCTGTTCCTCGCGGTCAATTCTGGACCCCAAGCAAACCAATCGGCTCTCCGGCCATTCCCTAAGGACATTCTGGAAGCCGCATCTGCCTCTACAACAGTGACGTCGCCGATGTATACTTCGTCTGCGAGCTGGGATAGGCCTACGAGCTGCGCAAGTTCAGGCATTGAGGTCCAGCATATTGGAGAAATAAGCTCGATTACTTCTAGCTCTCGGGAGATTCTGCAAAGCGCGGCGACGCCCTTGAGTTCAGTAGTAATTGCTCCCGCGGAGATTCCCAAGGCTGTGTCCGATGGTCCCCCACCGCCACAGGTAGAGCCCGAGACAAGCTCTTCTGTGGAAAATCCGCTTGTTATTCGAGATCTAGAGCCGGTGACCCCTTTGAGGCTAGAGCCTATGGAGAATCCGGCGGCGGAGGCCCCACTACTAGACCGTCCAGAACTGATTCAGCCGGTGAGCCCGGCAATGGAAGTAGCCATCCATGCGAACCAGCAGGCGGACGACTGAACGACGTATATGAGCTATAATGCCGTTAGGATGTGATTGACGACCGATATGAGACATTTATTGTTTATTTTGTTTATTCTGCCTGACTTGTGTGTTTCTCTGCAGTTGGTGCCTGTTTCTGATTAATATTTCATTATGAACTCTGTATTTACCTCCAGAAGTAGCGATTATCAATATGTTTACATTAGATGCACTGATCTACCTATCACAACAATCGGTCAAAGTTTAACACTAACGTTGCAAGCGCGCCACTGCAGGGCAGGCTTAAAGTGACAGGTCATGGCGATAACCCGCTTCCGGGTCAATAAGATTCGATAACCTAGCACCACATCGTCAATCGTTTCTTCTCTCCTTGCTGATACCCAGCCAGTCAGCTAAACAAATGATCAAACTCTGTATGTTCTGGGTCAGTAATCAGTGCAGTGGCAATGCTAACTTCTCGCCTTAACCCACATCTCCAGTGTGAAGTTCACGGGTTTTGTGAACAATTTGCAGAATCCACATTTTCGCGCATCCGCGACCTGCAATAATATCTAAATATATTGGTTTCGCTAATAATTGAAGCTTGCGGTGAGCGGGACAGTCTGCATTCTGCTAGGAATGTTCGTATGCTGGTAGGCCCTGCATATGACGGATCCAGTATCTTGGCCACCGGACGGCATTATGACAAGCCCTAGTCATGGTCATGAACCTTTCGCTATACGTCTCGGGTCCTCCATCCCTTGCCTTAACCTTCGGGCATCAATAGCATCAAGACTTTGTACCTCTTGAGGTCTGTTATTATAAAAGCCCGAAACTTCTCGCGGGATGAAGGGACTCAACTCAAGCACGACAAACCAGTCCGCGACTCGGCCCTGTTCGACTGTATATATTCTGTGGAACTTGGTAGTTGGTTCCTTGTATATTTCTTTATTTGGTTTTTGAGCCCCAGCATGAGTATATCTCAAAGCAGGCTGGCCCTGTTGGCCCTTTGCTTCGTGCAATGGGTGTCCGGCCGTGTTGTACAGTTCCAGCTAGACCTGACCTATGAAGATGTCAGTGTAGCCGGTGATGTACACAAGGCTATTGTGAGTAATGGACAGATTCCTGGGCCCACGTTGTGGTTGAAGCAGGGTGATGATGTCGAATTTTTGGTCAACAACTCAATGTCAATCAATACTACAGTTCATTTTCATGGTGAGTACTACCTCTCAATCGTATGATCCTTTGGCTTCGATGTTCAGAACGCCTTTTGCCACAGAGACTTACTAAAGATTTGCAGGTATCGAGCAACTAGGCACCCCGTGGTCAGATGGTGTACCTGGACTCTCGCAGGAGCAGATCAAGCCGGGCGAACAATTCCTCTATAAATGGAAGGCAAGCCAGTATGGCTCGTACATTTATCACTCGCACACACGGGCTCAGATTGATGATGGCCTCTATGGGGCTATCTACATTGAACCGGCAGACTCCGTGGAGAGGCCTTTCCATTTGATCGCTGGATCTGATGCGGACGAGCAGCAGGCGATGTTGACAGCTGAAAAGAATACACGGCCAGTTCTCATCTCGGATTGGCGAGCCTTTTCCTCGCATGATATTCTCCAGATTCAAACCGAATCTGGTGTTGAAGCCTACTGTGCCAACTCTGTTTTGATCAACGGAAAGGGCTCGGTACTTTGCCCGTCTCAGGAACACATCAATGCTGCCACGACACCGCAGCAAAAGCAGATCCTGGGCAACTTGACTTTGACTGACATGGGGTATGCAGTCCCAAGACTTAATGATGGTTACAATGCTGATCCTGACTAGATGCCTGCCTCCCACGCCGGGTGTTGTGGGTCCGTATCCGTACGATCTCAGCAAGATTCCCAAAGGCTTCTACGAAGGATGCACGCCTAGTGAAGGGCCCACGGAGGTTTTCAAGGTCAACTCTTCATCACGGTATGCTAGCTTTGACTTCATTAGTATGGCTGGCTCGACTTCGCTTGTGTTCTCCATCGATGAGCATCCGATGTATGTTTACGCGATCGATGGCCGTTATGTTGAACCTTTGCTTGTCGACGCTGTTACTGTGCCCGTCGCTTCAAGATACTCAGTTATGGTGCCACTAAAGTCGGAAGATCAGGCGGGAGATTATACTATCCGCGTTGCCAACAACTATGCGAACCAGCTCATCAATGGGACCGGCGTCCTGTCGTATGACACCGCTACACCAAAGCAGATCGGTACCTCGCAGCCTTATATCAACGAGGCCGGCGCTAATGCCACTGCCTCCACGGTCATCTTAAACGAAACCAACGTGGTGCCCTTCCCCGTGGTAGCACCTGCTACGAAGGCGGACCGGACCTACATCCTAAATGTCGAAAATGCCAATTCATCGTACACCTGGACCCTGGGCAACCAGTACCCCGTGTCGAATGAAGAGCTTCGCCCTCCTGTTTTGTTCAACCTCAGCTCAATCTCGCAGGCGTACTCGGCCATGACGGAGAACGGTACCTGGGTGGATCTCATCATCAACATCACCACCTCGGGCCAGCCTCAACACCCCATCCACAAGCACTCCAACAAGTACTTTGTGATCGGAACCGGTAACCAGCCCTTCATCTGGTCCTCCGTGGAAGAGGCAATGAAAGACATTCCGGAGAACTTCAACTTCGAAAACCCCCAGATGCGGGACACTTTCTACTCGCCAAGCTCGAGCACGGGGCCGAGCTGGCTGGCGATGCGCTACCCTATCGTGAACCCGGGGCCGTTCCTGCTCCATTGCCATCTTCAGATGCACCATGTCGGTGGGTTGGCACTGGCCTTGCTGGACGGGGTGGACGCCTGGCCAACCGACATCCCAGAGGGATATCGGTTGCCAGTGATGCCAATCTAGGGACTTTGACTCATTGTACAGAGGTGGACGAAAGTATTTACTGTAATTTGGCCATATAGCGCCTCTCATATAGATCCGATGTAATATTATTTACTACTTAATGAAACTACTTGGTGGCTTACCAAATTACCAGTTGTAGTTCTAAAGCAAGAGTGAGAGCAATCACGGCAGTCGCCTGGCGTGAATTGGTGGCGGCGGTGTGTTACTGAGGCCATTCACTACTGCTGTCCAGCCTCGACTCTCTCCTTCGAGTCGACTGTTTCTTTCTCACTTTGTTTACTCGACTTCTCTTCTAATCTCCCGCCTCGTCGATACCACCGATACTCTTTTCCTACTTCGTGTGATCGATCTCTCGGTAATCCAACGGTTCATCTAAGCGTTCACCATTATCACCTGCACACTTTCCTCCTTCTCGTCCACTCATCATCCAAAAAGAACAAAAAAAAAATCATTAACTTTCACTACAATTACTATGAAGCGGGGCTACGCGCCGAGAAATGAGAAGATGCACTTTGGCATCCAGTCCGGGCCCAGTGCCTGCAAATCTAAAAAGGGAGTGCCTTGCTTGCTCGGTCTCCCCAGTGAAATTCTCGCTACTATCTTTGAATATGTGAGTATTTATAAAGGATCTGTATCATATCCCCCCGAGGTCTAAGACGGGGTATTGACGTTTTTTTTTTCTTCTCATCTCAGTCTGGTGAAAAGAGCCTCTGTAGTCTGGCTGGGGTGTGCCAGCAGTTCCACGGCATGGCCGTGGCGCTGCTGTACCGCAACATCCACCATGGCATTCATACAGATGACCCCGTCTACACTGAGAAATCCCTGGATCGGTTCACGGCCATGGTGGAGGTAGTGAGTACCAGCAACCTTCAGTACGCATCTAGTGTCAAGAACATCGCAGTGAGGCATATCGCGCCCTACGAATCAGATAACAGACAGGGAGCTGTGGTCAAAAGACCTAGTCAAAGCTATTACACAGGCCGGTACCTGTGTAGTCTTATTGCCATTACTCTGCGGAAGACGACCGGATTAACTAGCTTCACGTAAGTACAAGACAGTCTTGAATACGTGATAAAGTATTCGTGTGCTGACTTCTTCAGTTGGGATATTCGTTTGGAGCTCACACCCTCAGTGTACCAAGCGATCAGCCGAATTCCTGACATTCGGGACGTGCATATTCGCCTGCCAGCATGCACGACGCCAGGAGCCACTGATTCTACGCTTGGACAAATGCTCCAGACTCCTCATTTCCACCTCCACCAAAATGATCCACCTCCCAGGGAAATTCGACCCAGTTGCACCGGGGCCGAAGCTCAGTTGCTAAAGGATCTCGACAAACTTCAGCATGTACCAACTCTTTCCCTTCTTTCGGGACTGAAGAGTCTCTCGGTGTTGGATATTGAGGATCTGAAACTGGTGTTGCAGCTCCCACAGTGTATCGCGCAGTGCTCGTCAACGTTGAAGTCTCTCAAGTTGTCGTTTTCGGACGAGCTTGCAAAGTCGGCGCGGAAGAAAACAACTTCCAATTCGGCGCCAGACGCGACGACGGCATTCGGGGATATGCTCAATTTCGCTGCACCCCAGTTCGAAGAAGACCTTCTCTCAGATCCGCAGGCCACTCCAGCCGATCCTGCTCTACCCCCAGATCCCGTGGTCCGAAGGGAGCGCTCCATTCAGGAGTCAATTCTGGCGTACATCTTCATAGTGGGAGATGGCGACCGTCGCAACAAGTATCTGCAGGAAGCCCTGCTGGAAGGTAATGCCCGCAAATCGCAGGCGGAGGATAGTAGCGCTTCGGAAGAGGCAAGGGACCTAAAGTTCCTGAAGTGTGTACGCTCAATGGTCCGTGTGCTGCCAAAGATGATGGTGCTTAACTCGGAAAATCCAGCCATCATCAACGTACTGCACAAACTCGACCAAGCTGCAACTCAGTACCTGGTCCGCAATGCCAAGCAGCCGAGCGAGAACGTTGTTAAAGCGAGCACCAGCAATTCTGCGCCAGCCAGTGCTCCCAAGCCTACTCCGTCAATCAGCGGCAAGACTGAATTCTCCGTGAGCAAGAAAAAAGAGAAATGTCCGACCGACGTGATCGATATGGAGCATCCTGACGTTGTCGAAGAGGAGGGAGAAGATCAGGCGTTCGTCGATGAGAGACAGCAGTCCATCACAGAGGCAAGCGTTCGGGCCTTTGCGCGTCAGCCAGTGCGGGCAGCAAGACCCAGTTCATCTGCCGATAAAGGAAAAGGAAAGCAGCCGGTCAGAAATTCTCCGGTCAAGAAGCGCACAGCAGAAGAGGTGCGAGAGGGCTATGTTCGCAACACACATGGCATCCCACTGGAAAGCCTTTCAATCCATCTCATTCCAGTGACCGCCGGGGTGCTTAGCAAGGCCGTTGACCTGACCTCTCTCCACCACCTGTCGCTACTCAACGTTGGACCTCAAAGCATACTCTGGGCTTTCCTCAAGCGACTCAACCAGATCTACCCCCTGCCACTGACATCCATCCATACGGACAATGTCACGCCCGCGTTCTGCAGCTTCGTCAACAGCATGGACAAGATCACCGAGCTGTTCCTGTTCGAGCGCTACAGCAAAGCCAAGGTAGAGTCGCTGGCAGCCAAGACCACCATAAACGCATTCACCATTCGCAGAGAGATCCTACACAAGCACATGCGCAACCTCCAGCGATTGGTAATCCGCAACGACGAGAGTGACAGCTGGGCTGCCGACCCGGCAACCATACTACAGATCAGCCAGCGGGGAGGCAAGCTAATCGAGCTCGGCGTTTCTGTGAACAACTGCGGCATGGTAAGTCAGCTGTCATCTTCTTTTCCAAACCGATCTGGTATAATACTAACCTCAATAGCACTCTCTCATGCAACAAATCGGCAGCTTTCGCTCTCTCAAGGCGCTGCAAATCTTCTGGTACCGCCAGGACATGTGCACGACCACGCTACGCGAAGTCCATCACAGCCTTATCGACGGCATCTATCACTATCGGCACCTTCGCATCGAATACGTGGCCATGTGCTATTGCATGCATGGACCGATCGCAAACGGCGCGATTCAGGTTCGCGGTCGCGTCAGACACCTGAGCAAAGCGTGCGCGGTTCTCAAAAAGGAAGCAGCTGCTGAAGAGACTGCTTCTTCGTCCTCTTCTTCGCAGCCAGCTTCAACTAATAACGCTCCACACGGCACTATGTTTCCGATGGAGAACAGTGAAGGCGACCCAATGCCCCTTTTTGGGGTAGAACTGAGCACGCGGGCGTTGCTGAGCATCGAGGACATCAGCGGGGTGAAGATGTGGGAGAAGGGAGCGTGGGAGATAAAGTTGTAGCCGATCCCAGACTGCCGCTGCGGTAGCAGCCTGGGATCGGCTCGTGTGTATGAGTATGAGAAGTTTTTAAATGGAAGTTGATGAAAATGGATGAAGATGTGATGGAGACGTGGATGTGTGTGAGGAGGAGAATGAGAAAGGAAGAGGAGAGGGAGGGACAGCGAGCAGATTTATAGTCTTAACACGCTTAGTCGCCTCGACGATGTAATCAAGAAGATATTCACAGTTGAAATGACAAATCTCACATCGCAATCTCACCTTCTAACTACAATTCTCTCATCGCACTATCACTTTCTAACATATTCATCCTTACCTACCTCATCCACCACATGAAAACCTCACGATACAACAAATACTCCTAGATAGATAGAAATATAAGGGCTTCCCCCATCACATGCCCATTTCCACCCCCCTCTTAGTCATCTCAGCTCCACTTTCCCTCCAATTTCCTTCCGTCCCGGCCCATCAACTCCCGCCATAGGATGACATCGTTGCTTTTCTTTTTCTTCCTCTTTCTTCTTGCTTCCTAGCTACTTTTCCTAACTACTTACCTGCAACACCCTCCTTTTCTCTTTTTTTGCCGCACCCCCACGTCAATAATCACTGTATATACTATCCGCAAAAATGGGAGGCAAGAAGGCCGCCGGCGAGAATTCCAAGAAGGCTGCGGGTAATGCCCGTGTACGTTCACCTACATACCTAGTTTTCTCTCAAAATATTACCCCGCCCCCGCTCCATCACCACCAGAACCATATACTTACAACCACAACCACTAAATCATCGTTAAAAAAGCAATGCTAACAAATTCTGATAAATATGGATATAGAAAGCCGAAGCCGCCGCCAGTAAAAAGGCCGCCGAAGACGCCAAGCGCGCCGCCGAAGAAGACGCCAAGTGGTCCAAGGGCGCGAAGGGTAACAACAAGCGGTACGCCATTCCCTTCCCCAGGACCAAGCTAAAAAAAAAAAGCAGAAAAGGGAATGCTAACACAGTCTCTTTGGAAATCCAGCGAAGACGCCGAAGCCAAGAAAGCCGAAGCCGCACGCAAGAAGGCCGAACGGGACGCCCTCCTCGCCGCCGAAGAAGCCTCCCAGCCCAGCAAACCCAAGAACACGAAAGCCGCCGCGAAGAAGAATGCCGGACCCAGCCGGGGCACATTGGATCTGTCGCAGCTCGACGATTCCCCCGCGAGCAAGAAGGCTTCTGCGCTCAATGCGTCTGGTATCGATAATGCGCTCGACGCATTGTCGCTTACGGGCAAGGATAGCGGCAAGGTGGATCGGCATCCGGAGAGACGATTCAAGGCTGCGTATGCGGCGTTCGAGGAGAGACGGTTGCCTGAGATTGAGGCTGAGAATCCGGGTTTGAGACGTAACCAGCGCATTGAGATCTGTAAGAAGGAGTTTGAGAAGAGTGAGGAGAATCCGTTTAACCAGGTGCATGTGGCGTTTGATGCGAGTCGGGAGGAGATTGCGGCTGTGAAGGAGGCGGAGAGGAAGAAGGTTGAGGCGAGGTTGGCGAAATAATTCTCTTTCCTTTTTTTTCTTCTCTTCTTCTTCTCTTTCGGTTTATATTTGGTTGTTTTGAAGGAGAGGGGGGTTTTGATATAGTTGGGTTTGGATGATATACCCGGTTTGCCTGTGGAGGGATGGATATTTTTAAAAAAGCATAGAGCATATAGCTGATAGCAGATGAGATGATTAACGATGCAATGGTATCATGCAATCTATATCCATATCCAATACACAGAACACAACGACACGCAGTAAAATGGATTCATGGTGGAGTTGAATTAACCCATCACTGCTCTCACATCCCACACATACAAACTCTCATCCCATCCCACACTCGCACACCATCCCTCACTCCCAAACATACACCAATCCACCCCCGTCACAAACTCCGTATGCCGACCCATTCTCCCCAACTCGACCCCCATATTCGGCCCCGGCCCAGCCCGCATCACATCGACATCGCCAACCGCCCCCGGCGGCGTCTGATCACTCCAAGCCCGACACGTCATATCATAACTGGCACTCAGCAACACATCTGACAAATGCGGCGACCAGGCCACCTTCCGCACCGCATACTCATGTCCCAGCATCACCGTCTGCGGCCCCTGCCCAGGCGCCCGAATATCAAACGTGCGAATCGTCCGATCCACCCCTGCCGTAGCTATCGTCGACGGGCGATATTTATTCCAATCCATAGTCAACGCCTCCGCCGGCGCCGTCGCCGCCATCGGACCCCCACCCGGCACTATTCCTCCCCCAGCAGCACCACCACCACCACCATGAATCGGCACCTGCAACGTCAAATGGTTCGACGCCGACGCCGGCGTCCGTAGATCAAACACCCGTAGATACGAATCCGACGACACACACGACAGTATGTCAGGCGAATGCGGAGAAAATGCCGCGCTGTACGTGCAGCTATGCGTCGGCAAAGTGAGGAGGGAATGCGGGCGGTTTGGTGTCCACACGCGCACTGTCCCGTCCCAACTACTACTGCAGAAACGGTCTTTTGCGACGAGGTTCCAGTGCACGCTGAAGACTTCGCGGTTGTGCTCTTTCCAGTTTTGGATTGGGAAGTCGGCGACTCCGGTGTCGAAGAGCTTGATGCTTCCGTCGCCCGAGGCTGTGAGGACTTGGTTTTCGTGAATTTCGGACCATGCTAAGTCGTAGAGGGAGTCTTGGGTTGTGAACCTAGTTTTATTTGGGGAGTTAGTTAGATTTTGGGTTGGTTTGGAAGTGGGATGGGGATTGGGGGATGGGGATACCATTTGTAGGGAACGATTCCGTTCGGAGTCAGCTCGAGAATGTAGAGTCGGCCATTGCCGACGAGGCCGAAATTGGCGGATGAGGCGACGGCGAGGCGGTTGTCGAAGAAGGGTGAGTACTTGACTGCGCAGCCGTTGAAGCCTTCTGTGCGGAAGTGGAGCATTTTGGGAGGGTGTGGTGAAATGGAGTGGAGATGGTTGTTGATAAGAGTGGGGGGATTAACTGGGTTAAGGGATCATGGCGTTGTGAAAGTGAGGGGGAGAGGGTGGGTGGATTGTTGGTGTTGGTGTTGGTGTAAAAATGGAGAGATTAATAGATCATGGAGATGCGGATGCAATTGCAGATGAAGATGGAAATGGACTGACTGCGGGGAGTCAACGTGCCGAGGTTCGGTCACTATTTGAATTATGAGGCTCAACAACCCGGGCACAATTTGCCCCAGGGAACTGGATTGTGCCCGGGTTGTTGAGCCTCAAAGACGGAGATTGTATTCCATAAGTGGACTAGTTCATGGCACCGCCCTTGAAATGTATTCCTTCAAGTCGCAGGGGACCTTCACACGTGATCTATCACATGACTCCATAACAGTCATTGCCTTTTTGGGAAGATGTACCTGGATACCCGATGAGGCAGGCGCCAGTGCCCGATGCTTAGTTGCCAACGTCATGATTTCTTCCTCCATCCACTTATTTCACATTCCGATCACTGCGCTCTCATCGAGGCCATGTCGTTCAGTTGCTCTTGTATCAATCCGTCGTAACCTCAGTTATTTGGGTTTTCTTGCTCACGTTCTACAAACTCGTCTTCAATACAGACAAACAGTCTCTCTACGGGATACTCTTCCAAGCTAATCTCTGACCTCTTTCTATGTAGACCCTGTGTGTTCTTCGAACATTGGGTTTACATAGCCTTTTGCAAGGCGAATCAGGCTGTGATAACTCTATTCGGCAGCAATGGACTGGTCCAAGACTGTCTTTCGTCTGCGCGCATTGCCAGACACCGTGGAAACCAAAGAAGATGCCGCTCGTCTGCTTAGTAAACGGCTCAGCGATATCTCTACGCACCAAATCTGGGTGTATTCCCTCGCGCTGACTCTGAATCATTGGGAGGATCCTCCCACTAAAGTGGCAACTGTTATGTTCGATGTTCCCCCTTCGCTTGTCCAACGCAATCCAGAAAGCCGGGCGTGGCATATTCCCGCCAGGGGCCATGATCGTAATAGCCCAGATCTCATATTAGATACCCACTTTATAGGTCTTACACCCTTGAATGATACAAATCACTTGCAAAATTCGTACGAGTAAGGACTGCCATGTCTTTTCAACATGATCGGCTTTTTGACCATTAATTAGTTGCATCGCTATCTCAGGTCTAGCAAGCCACCCTTTCGGATCCTGGCAGCGCAAGGGAAGTAACAAACGCTTCATGTGGATTCGTGATAATCTACCCAAGTCTGTGCGAGGAATCCGAGCCATACTTTACGGGTATGACACTGAGCTTAACGGCAGCAGCTCATTCCAGACCATCAACGATCTCGCCAAGCAGCTCATCGATCAACTCCAAGCCCACCGGGTCCCAGAGTCGGTAACGCCGTTGGTCTTCCTCGCTCATAGTCTGGGAGGACTGGTCGTTAAGCAAGCTCTACGCGACCTGGCCGAAAATTATCCGGGTGATGAATATCAGGCTCTCTTGAGTGCTGTACGAGGAGCAGTGTTCTTCGGCGTCCCAAATTTGGGCATGGAGCACAGGGAATTGGAAGCCATTGTCCATGATAAACCTAACGGGGTTCTTATTCGGGATTTATCTACAACATCCAACTTTATCCACCAACTCACAGAGGCGTTCTCCACCAATCACTTTCACGAACGATTCAAGTTCTTTTGGGCGTATGAAACAAGTGTGTCGCCCACAGTTGTCGTATGTGATTATAATAACCAGTTATCAGCATCAATCGCTATACCACATACCCTGAGCTAGTGGCTAACCAGCAGCAGAGGAAAGCAGACAATCGAGTAACCAGAGATGGGCCTACGGCCATTCTGGTGAACAAAGATTCAGCAACATGCGGGTTCATTAACACTAGATCTGCAATAACATTTTCAATCAATGAGTCACATTCCAATATGGTAAAGTTTGATCAAGGTTCTCAATATTACTCAACTGTGCGCTCAAAGTTATTGCAAATTCTAAAGCCCGATCCTCAGCCACAAGAAGGCATTGACTATAATGCACAGAGTAGCAGCGTGTCACACACTGTCCCTGACGATGTGATACAGCCTATCTACCAGACTGATCCAGCAGACAGTGCGAAATCAGCAGCCGAGAGCCTTCTGCTGCAGCCGCCACCACGCAGCATACTTGGTAAGCGAATTGCCATGAGCCTCCTCTAGTTCGATCACCCACTCACGTCTCATGATAGCGGAGCTAGAAAAGTTCAAGAACGTATCAAAACTCACCGAAAGCGAAGTAAAGACTTTGGTTGGTACAACTTTGGATGTTCTTCAGCATACAGTCAGTGGAATACAAATGCAACAGGAACTCTCCAGAGACATGAAGTACATGGGACGACTAGAACCGTTTTTGATATCGATGGAACAGTTTGGCCAGCTGGCGGAAGATATCAGACTATTCTCCAATAACTCTGATAGCATTGCGTACGTATGGGTAAGGTGGATGAAGATGTTTATGATATGAATCGTGCTATGAACTGGGCTGACCCTAACGTAGGGTTCAATGAAATATATTCTTGAGGTACGTGAGGAAACGCGCCCGGCTCATACAAATCTTCTAACAGATATTCTAATATGTCTAGACAACATGCGAGCATTCAAAAGCATTTGATTCCATTTTGAATGCATACCAGTTAATTGGAGATCAGATGCCTCGACTTCGCCAGTACCAGGCTGTATTTATTGAGTGTTCTCACTTGAGAGATGCTCTAGTAATGATCTACAAGGATATTCTTCTGTTCCACTCTGAAGTAATCCGGCAATTAAAACATCGGCGTGGGTATCATCGCCATTGACATTAGCTTATAACAGAGACTAATCTAAACTAGAATGGGATCAGCTGTTTCATGCCTGGATGAGAGACTTTACTATCAATATTGACGATATTGCGGAGAGAGCTGCGCGAAACAAACGGCTTATTGAAAATAAAGTCTCTCTCATGGAGTTTGAGGCAATCAAAAAAGATGATTCGATATCCGCGCGTGCCTTTGAACGTGAGAAGGAGGCTATGGCAAAGGTTCATAGAGACACGATCGAGCACTGGCTTTCCGCATTCGACATCAAAGCAGAACACCGCATTCATCAAGCCAAGAGACGAGTTTGTCAAAACCCCGGGCATTGGCTACTGAATAGCCCCGAATTAAAGACATGGTCAAGCATTGACGATCAGTCAAACCCACTACTTTGGCTCAGCGGGATCCCGGGAGCAGGTATGTAACGGGCTCAGGAAAATTGCTTGAGAGTGGGAAAGGGGCCATAGGACAAGAATATAATACTAAAAGTCATCTCCAGGCAAGACCGTTCTCGCTTCTATCGTGATTGACGAGCTTTCCAGACTTCCGGGAGCAATTGTTGCGTATTTCTATTGCAAGCATGGCGATGAGAGACGTAACTCCGTTGATAGTGTTACGAGGTCGATCTTGGCACAAGTCCTTGACCAGAACCCTGATCTACTGCCATATTATTACGAAAAGGCTCATATGAATGCCTCATTGACGTCATCCACAGTCTCTGAGCAATTGTTATGCACGTCTCTCAGGAGTTGTAGGAGGGTCTATATCGTACTTGATGGCTTAGACGAATGCGGGCGCGCTGCCAGGAAGAATATCGTCAACCAATTTCGTCAAATGGTTGAACAAACGGTGATAGATGTGGGCTCCATCCGGTGTCTGTTTGTCAGCCAGGAAGACGGTGCGGCTGCTGAAGATTTTGAGGGCATCGAATGCATCAAGATCGGACAGCGCAATTTTGAAGATATTTCGGCTTTTGCCCGCGTATGGCAGCAGACTATAGTCACCAAGTTTGGGGGAAACAATCGACTCCTGCATATTCAAGACATCATAACAAAACGGGCTAAGGGTAAGATACTCAAGGGATTCCATCAATTCACTGGGATGTCGGATGTCTAACCCCTTGCTTAAGGGATGTTTATCTTCGCCGAACTATTCGCGAAATATCTCGAGGAGCGTCTGAGTCTTGAGGACCTCGAAGAACAACTTCGTCCCGACAATCTGCCGGTGGAGTTGGATGATCTGTAGGTTTTAGCTTCGCGGGCTTTCCAACTTTGGGCTGACTGTTTGCCACGAAGCTATGAGCGGATTCTTAGTCGCATCCAAGAAGTGAGAGACGTTGAAACTATGAAGCGCATCAAGGAAATGCTAGGTTGGATTGTCTGTGCTCGTCGGCCACTACGATGGGAAGAGATACAGACCACAGCCTGTATCAGCCCTACGCATGGGAATTTTGATGTTCGCAGACGACTAGTCAATTCGCCAAGCGAACTGTTCGCCTCTCTTATCGAGTACCATCTTGATGGCACAGTTGATCTTGTTCATGGTACTGCACGGAAGTAAGATATCGCACATGGAGCACATACCATCTTTTACTGACTGCGCTAGGTATTTGACGAAAGGAGGGTTGGAGAAAGGCCTCAGAAAAGAGGTGGTGGTAAGAGTCCACCAGGCTCATCATTCGCTAGCAGTGCGCTGTCTCACGTACCTCTCGTTCCCTCAGTTCGATCTCAATCGAGCTGAACATGATGTCAAGTCGGATATGCTTGACGGGTTTCATCAGCTGTATGACTATGCGTCTGCTTGCTGGGTTATGCACCTGGAGGGTGGGATTTTGGGTCTTGAAGTGGGCGACCTCACTCGTCTATGCGAGGCACTGAAAAGAGTAGTTGATTTGCACTGGTCCGAGTCACACAAGCCCATCCAACATATCGAAAGAGTGCGCACACTCTTATCACCTTTCAACGAGATTGAAACTACGGAATTGAAGGATCACAACCGACTAGTTCAAACGGTCGCTTGGGCCAGGAAGCAGTCTGGCCAGTCTGGAATAGGCCCCTGTGATGAGGAGGCGCTCGCTTTGTGGAAGGTTACAGCCAAAATTAGATCCGTGTTGGAAGGTATTGATACTAAGGGTGACGAATTCAAGACGATCAGACGTCTCTACGGCGTGAACCGGTTCAAGTGCCCTCGAGTCAACTGTCACTACTATCATCACGGATTCCGCTTCCTTGACCAGCGGAACCGACATACCAAAAAGCACACCCGACCGTACCTCTGCGTTGTCGCGGGCTGTCCGATGGAGGTCTTCGGTTACGCGCTGGAAAAAGAACTGCAAAAGCACTTGTTTGACGTGCATCACATCAACGATGCCAGTGATGGAGATGAGCCAGACTTCCCTAAACCTATAAGAAAGGAAACATCCAAGTCCGGAGGAGTTGAGGGAAAGTTCAGATGTACCGACTGTGATAAGACTTTTACCCAAAAAAAGAGTCTGAATCGACATCAGAGAAGTCATGCTAGTGAGAGGTCTTTCCTTTGTACCACTTGTGGCAAACCCTTCACACGAAAAGAAGACTGCGAGCGCCATCAGGATGTACATAGTAGCGATAAACAAAAGTACGTCTGTGCCGGAACTCTCAAGGATGGGACAAAGTGGGGGTGCAATAGATCCTTCGCCAGAAAGGACAAACTCAGGGATCATTTCCGGCCAGAAAAGAATCTCAAGTGCATCTTGCCTTGGCTGCGAGAGAAACAGGCAGCTGGTGGGGTCGATGGAAAATATCTGGATGACAACGTGTTTGCCGATCAAAAGGGTGCCAATGCCGAGGTCCTGCTCACGGCTGGGCGAACCTTACCCCCTTTTCGGGTCTTTTTGGAGAAATGCGGTCTTTGACGTGGGAGAGTTGATTTAGGTTCTGCTATTGATGCTGTTCGTTCCCACTACTCTAAGCCCACAGCATGACGTCTTTTTCACCGTAGTTCACGCTCATCCAATGAGAGCTGCAGCTTCCGTAATTGACCACTCTCAATGATCTATCTCTTGGGTAAGCGACTTTCGTGGTTGAGAAATAGTAGACATAATCTCTGCCGTTCTGCTAGTAGGATGATTACTGGAGACTCACCTTTTCAACCGTGTCCTCCATCACATAGCGAATGACAAAAGTCTTCTTACCCTGACCCCAACGTAGTGCTCGTCCGATTGCCTGACTCTCCACCGACGGGTTCCATTGCGGTTCCAGTATGTGGACCCGACTCGCGACGGACAAGTTATTCAATCTGTATTCGAACTGTGTCAACCCGCAGGCTCCCCATTGATCAATACTACCTCCAGGGCCGAGATCTCGCAGGCGATGCCAGAGGCAGGAAATGCGGGCTTTGTGTCATAACTTACCCTACAGCGCCCGTCCCTATAGTCATCAAGAGCACCCGGACAGCTGAGTTGTGCTGGAACTCCTCCAACATAGTCTTCCGTTTCATCGGGCTCATGATACCATCGACCCGGCAATGAGAGATACCATTCTGGTCGAACATCTCACCCAAGACATCGAGGCTTTGTCTCCAGAAAGAAAAGACTATGCTGATTTGTTTTGTATATCTGGTAAGCAATGGGGCATATAAGACAAGATAGAAACCCAGGTGTGCTGCGGGAAATATGGAGTATAATTACCTTTTATCTTCCGAATAATGGTTTCGTATATCGGTAAGTAGAGTCGCCAATTTTGAAGGATAGGCAATACTGGCCCGTTGAGAACCAACAGTATCGAGAAAGCCCTGTTCGGCGCTGATGGTCTGCCCACTGTCTGTCGTTCCATCATCATCATCATCGGATGTTAGGTTTGTTGTTGTTGTCGCCGTTGTGTTTGCTGTTATTGGAGCCTCAGGGTCATATTGACTCTCCCTATCCTCCATAATACCTGCATTTGGGCGGGCACATATCTGGCATTTCAACCTACGGTGGCGGCTCAATGAGAGCCAAGAATCCAGCGAGGAACTTCTGCTCTTATCTTCGTCTTCGTCCTCGGAATCTAAGGTCAGTATCTCCATGCCACAAATAGAGCAAGTGTTCTGTTCATCCTGTTGGAGTAGCGTGACTATTTCGTCCGACGATAGATTCAGAGCGTCTGTATCATTATCGGACCTTCCTCCGCCGAGAAACACACTTCTCAGACCGGTGTTGCAAAACATGCGCAACCGCAATTTAGCTGTCAGAATCAGCTTATCTGCTCGTCCTTTCGAGGTTGGCATGTTTATTGCAGCTTTAAGCCGCCTGTCGTAAGCCTTGATCAGCTCATCGTAGACTCTGCGTTCGGCCTCCGAGAACAACGGACGATACGTGATGAAAGTGCCCCCGAGAGCTGGGAATACCGTTGACATTCTACGTCTCAGGCAGATGGCTGAGAGAAGACACTCGAGGTTGGCATAATTAGGTTGGACACTACGAGCGGATCTAGACGACGTTTTTGTCATGTATTTGCGGAAGCCCACAACGCTGTTCAAGTACGGGATGCGGAGGAACAGAACGAGCGACGCGAGATCCTTGAGCGAGTTCTGTATGGGTGTCCCTGTCATGCACCAGCGAATTGAGGCCGAAATGTGCTGGATCGCCTTGAATTGTTTCGTGGAGGAGTTTCGTATAACGTGAGCTATGTAAAATGAGTCAAGTCCTGCAGTTATTACGGGAAAATATTTTTTTGCTGACCTTCATCGAGTATCAACCTGTGCCAGTGAATTTTGTTAAGTACACTTTTCCCGCCGCTGCTACTGAAATCCGCTTCAATAGTGGCATAAGTTGTGAAAACAATATCATCTGAAGGGGGCGATGACAAACTGATGCAACGCCTTGGGCCATGATACTTGTAATATTTCAGGGCTCCGGGAATGAGGTGCCTGTTGCAGAGTTAAAGAGGAGGGTTTTGCTTAACTAAGGCCATCACCACATTGTTGTGCTTACTTTTTGACTTCGTCAATCCAACCGTGCAGCAATACTGGGACTCAGTTAGTCGTGGTTAATCGACCCAAATGCTTGAACCAAATTGTAGGTACTCACAAATAGAAGGCACGACAACAAGCGTGGATTTCGCAAAAGTAGAACTCGAGTCTGCCGGTTTCTCTAACGTTGTTATATCACTGGGTGGTGATGACACTATGCTGGCAATCATGCTGAGGGTCTTTCCCACACCCATATCATCCGCAAGAATCCCGCCACGAATGTCCACGGGCTCTGGGCTTCTCGTGCCAGTTATTGTGTGCTTATATCTGTGCGCTTTCCTGTAAATAGGTGTGTTGTAGCCTAGAGTTGAGGGTTTCCACACATACACGTGCTCTTTCCAGTTCCAGATTTCAAGACGCCACAGTGTGTTCTTAGTTCGAGAACAGGCTGATTCTCGAGACAGGATAAAGTCTACTGCTTCCAGCTGATGCCTATAGCAAGTCTCAATCTCTTTCCGAATATCAAGTTCAAAAACGAAACCGACTCACCTTTCAAGCTTTGTTCGAATACGTTTGTCGACGTCTATCTCGTTTCGCAAAGCCTGCTGCGGAAAATCATCAAGGATCGCTCGAGCATCATCATCATCATCATAATCGCAACTATCATGGCCTTGGCCTGCTTTACCCAGAACGTCGAGGCCGTCTGTATCGTTCTGCTTGGTGTTCCCCAAAATAGGCGGTAGGGTCGGCCGGTTAAGACACTGCGCTCCCACACCGGACAAATACTGTGGATTGTTGTACTCGAGGTATTCAGGCTTTGGGTTTGGGTGTTGCAAAAATAAATGGTACCGAGCGAGCTCCCTTGCTAGGATTTGAGCGATCGAAGGCGAACCGATTACGAGGATGGACATTGTACATGTAGCCTTCGACGACCACCGAGCGGAAGGTGAAGACTCTGCTACAATCTTCATTCTCTGGTGGAGCTCGAACTTTGGTATTACACCTAGCCAGGTTGGGGGCTCTGGTAGCCTCATGAAGCTAAGTGCATGGTGAGTTTTGGTATTCAGTGTAGCGACGCAGGTTCCTTGTTTTGATAGAAGATCACAACGGTCATCCTGTATGAAGAGATGTAATAAGGCAAAATCTTCATATTCATCTGAAAGTTCATCAAAGCATAGAGATGACCGGTCTTCGACGCAGTCAATACGGATTTGGATGTTTTTCAGCTACAGCATATCAGCTACAACAGGTAGATAGGCAAAAGCGAAGGGAGGAATAACAGTGTCTCCTACCACGCACCATTCCAAAACATATATGACCTGCATCATACTCCTGGGCCCTTGGCAAGTCCTGGTCATTCATGTCGCGGTAATGCGGGGCACAGACTTGAAGTGGGGGAGGAGGTAAGAGATTTGGTTGAAGTACTTGCGCTTCTAGAAAGCCTGCTTTTGCATTATGAAAGATGATTAGTGAGATAAATGAAGGAAGGGGTCAAGAAAAGGAAACCGCGGCCGCCAGAATTTGAAGTGATAGAAACCTCCGGCGTTAAGTTCATTGTTATTCTTGCACTCACGGGTATCTTGCGCATATGGAAGAGGGAGCCCGCCCCGAATTTGCTCCTGTTGTACAGTATCTTGATGATTGTGCGGGCCGAAAGATCCCCAGGGAGTTGTCATGCCCGAATTGGAGCTGGACACGCTGACGAGATGCTCGTCAAGCCTGAGCCGCTTGGTTTGAGGATAATCGGCCTCGCCGTGGATGCCATTATCCCCCAACTCCAGATCCCGCTTTGGAATGGGGCACAAAGACATGTCTTCGGAAATATCCATATTGGTAACGCCTGACATTTTTCCTCGATTTCTTCTTCGACAAAATGTGAAGTGTTGAGGTGAGATCCGAAAGATATAATCCTTAGCGGCTTATCGCACTGCTCTGAGCTGCGGCACTGCCACCCAGAAGTTGCAGCAGGGCACCCACCACCTGCATCATCACTAACCCAAGGCACGCATTCGCGAGGCTGAGTCTTTTGAAAATTATGATTGGCTCAACATTGTTTCAATTGCTTCACCTTTTGGCATTCATTTGTTTGCTTTTGCTCCGCAAGCCTGCTCACCGAATACATTTGACATTTGGGCGTTGAAGGCATGACTGGCCTTAAAGACAGTCACACGGTTTTTCTATACACTCTCCGCTCTCTCTGCATCTGCCTATTGTACATCATTGTAAACCCAAGATGATAAAAAAACAACAGGGTCCATAACATCAGCATGATCCACACCAAAACCACCGTGAAGAAAATAGACGCCAAGGTGAAGACGACGCAAACCCTCTGAAACTGCTGATTCCCCTGCAGCGCCTCGGTCGCCAGTCCCACTTGCATGGCCGACAACAGAACTGACATGTATACTAAAACCGCCAGGATCCACGAGAAATTACGCTCGAAGAACTCCTGGTACCATGTTGAACTGGGAAGAAACCCAAAAACGAGGTTGCGGATAGAAAAGGTCACGGGCGCTAATCGGTACAAGGAATTCAGGCGGCTTAGGCGCAACTCGCCAAACTCGTAGCGCTTGTTGATAATTGCAGGCTGGGGTTGGGAAACATATTCCTTTTCTGTGGGCAGGGAAGTACTACATCTATCGTCATCGTTCTCATTGTCCACCCACTCGAGGAACTGCTGGATTAACAGTGTCCATTCATCCCAGGTGACATCACAGGGAAGAATACGCTCGTCCTTGGCGAGTTGGAAATCGATCAATCCAGTAATGAGCCACGCATAAGATAGAAGCAGCCCACATGCGGCAGCGTGCAGTTCTCGATGAGGACAGAGCTCCCGCACCCAAAACTCGTGGTCCAGGAGATATTCCGGGACGGGTTTGATGAGGATCTGTCCGGGGCTCCAGACCAAGTGCTCATCTGGGGATTCCGTGAGGATAATCGCACGCTTCATCAGCTTCTGTCGATGCAGTGGCCGGGCTGCCCGTGGGAGGCCAGCGAGCCATAGCAGATGATGAATCCGATTCAACTTCGGCGTTGTGAGCTGGAAGACCAGATAGCGTTGGAGATCCTCGCTGGGCTTTATCAACTGGTGCTGGAAGTTGACGCCTGCTGGGTGCGTGTATTGTGGGGAAGACCGAATGCTCGCAGAGCTGGAGAATGGCGGCGTCACACCATGGCTCGCTGGCGTTTCTGGCTGGGGGTAGTGTATGGTAGGAGGATGTGGCGCAGTATTGTTTGCCACAGTTGAAGACATCTCGTAGGCGAAGATGGATGTTTTCTCTCTCTCTCTTTCCTTTCTCCTTTTCTCAAAGTTTATATACAGATTTGTCAACAAGCCTCGAGAGATTAAGAACAAACCCCGGGCGCGCGAGCAGTCTTACTGGGCTTCTGGGCGAAACGACGTAGCTACCAGTATCTCATGGAGATGACGATTGTGTTGGCACTTCTTTAGGTGAGACAAGGATATGGCCACTAACGTGGTGACCACTTGGAAGCCAGATTGGCTGTAGAGGCATGTTTGCCTATGATCTTACCTCCTAAGCAAGTCAGCAAGTTAAGCGACTGCTGTAATATCATGACTCCTCCAGCTGGGCAAAAATTGCGACTCACGACAATGCTTGTGTTGGGCATCATCAGGGCAGTTACATGGTTGTGGCTATGCCGGGCGGAGGAGGAGGCAGAGGCGCCCAGGTTATTCACGTGTAATTCCTTCTGTCTGAAGTGATTCCAAGGGCGGTGCCAAAAACAGGGCTACGGGCTACCTAAACCGCACCGGGAAGTGTGTAAGCACTAGCACCATGCGCGCATGGTTCCACGCGCAAGTTGACTTACGTGCTAGCCCTCTATACTTGACTGCGCACAGTAAAGCGGCGGCTTCCGTATAAAGTAAGCGCTAGGACTAAATTATCTATCAACTGAGTGAAGCGCTTGGCATCCTTTCTGACGATTCCACCACTCCGATACTGATTTACACTGCTAAATATACTAACAACAATGGAGATAAACAACATACCAACATGAAAGTCTACAGTTCGCCAGAACGGATATCAACAACTCAATTCAGCTCCTAGGTTGTATAAGTCACTCTGGGTGACAGAGTCTGCTGTGGATCATGCCGATGATGTGGGCTGTGTTGTTTTGTTATCAATTTGGATTCACGATATTGTACCATAGGCGGTTACAAAGGGTGGAAAAAATGTATAGGAAAAGTGTGTGATTATCCGGGCTGGGGTGGTAGTAGTCAGGACATGTACCGAGAGCCCGAATGGTTTGATAGACAGGCTATAGTGCGGCTAACCAGTCCCCAGTAGTTAAACAAAGAAGTGAAAGAAAAAAGCAAGCAGCGGAGGTAACTTTGTGTACCTCGTTCTTTGTTCAAGATGGAGAACAATCTCCCTATTCCCGGATCTCCCTTACACAACCCATGAGAAGCAGCAATCGCTCATGCCTACTTAAGAAGGGACTTCATGCCTCTCGTTCAGATGAAGTCTTCATTCTTCATTTCCACAAGCCTTGGTGATTGTACCCTTTCTCCGGGTGGCTGTGATAACTACTTCGTGCCCTAGCTTCAGAGTTAAGGTGTGAGCACGGTTGCTCCTTTCTCCTCCTCTCGACATTTTACAGTTTGACACTAGTACCTGCTTCTAAGCTTTTCCGACGAGATGTCATCGGACTCTCTTCAGAAGCGAGTCGTGGAATCAGTCGACGATATCCATGATACGGATTCCGACGGTCATCGGGGCAAGCGATCCAAGATTGTCAAGCCCTTCACCAGCGTCTCCAGCTCCGTTCGAGACACGGAAACTTCTCCGAGCTCTCTCATCTCTGAAAATAAAGTACACGGTGTTTTACAGCCGAAAGACGACCAAGCCGGGGGCGATTCGGAGGCTATCTGTGAGTACATTACCTACCGTCGAGCGCCCCCTTCCCCCCAAAATGGGGTCTAACTTCTCATGTTATGCCTAGGCTCTCCAGCACCACAAGCGCTTTCGCCCAAACATTTGGCTCCAAAACCTGTCCAGGACCCTCCCCAGCAATGCCACAATAGTAATGACAAGGTCTTGCAAAGCACTCAGGAAGATAAGGCAGAATACATATGCTTCGGGATGGTACGTGATATGGATCACCTTTTCATTTCCTCCTCCTTCCCCTCTTTTGTTCATTTCTCTACCCATCCAGTATAGCTAACGTGGGATAGCTGAGAGATGTCGAGATTAAAATCCAGCCTGTTCTGGGTTCGTACTCTCTAAGCGTTGATCAATCATTCGGGATACCTGATACGTTTGCTTCACTCACTCTCTCGATACAACCGTCGCAGAGTGATTTTCTTTCAAACGAGGGCGCTTGTATTGCGACGATAGACTATGCAACACACCGTCGAATCAGCTCCAGGAAAGTCGAAGAGGACCCGATCTGGCTGGCTGTGATGCCAATGGATGAACTCCGGCAGAAGATAAGAGCAGTGACAAAGAAATTTTCTTCAGGATCTTACTCTCCTTCCACTTGGACGTACAAAATCAACATTCTTGCTATCGGCCTCTTGACTATTGCGAAACCCCTGGCAGACCAACTTACTCAACCTCAGCATGGTCGGCGTCAGTTGCAGTTGCGTTGTCCAGTCCCAAAGCCCGACCAGATTAGGTATTATAATCCCCAATGGTCGTACACATTGGGACCACCACCTTCCGAACAATCGAAACCACCACATACACCGCGGATTGTTAATCAGAAGGAGTTGAATGGTTCTGACGCGGCGGAAGCGAACAAGCGCAAACACTTCGAAGATGATCGTGGTGACGCTCAAGCGGTCCTTATAGAGTCCAAATAGTCAATTCGACGGCAGGCGATAGCGTTATGGCCGCCCGGAAAATGCGTTTTCGGGGGTACTCAGTGATGCAGCGGATGAAGAATATCATATACGAAGATCCGGGAATGTGTATGTATGGCTTTACACTTGACTTGACTTGATGATAGACTAGATATTCTATGGTGTAGACCCAATGGCCGCTAAAGCCTAAGACCCATGTGACTACTACTACTACTCACTGTAATTAGTAAGTAATGCTAATTAGTACCTAGGTATATATCTTAACCACATCCCAATTTTGAAGTAGATCTACATCATGATATAGTGTTCCAAACGGGTCATGTCAATAAAACAGAGCTACAAGGTGTTCTCACACTGACGCTACACCTACATTTCTCTTCCTCTATTTCAATCTATCCAGCTACACATCAGCATTTCTGGTATTTCATTCAAGTGTTCAATCAATTCACCGTGGGGCCTATAGGATACACCAAGTATCACTTAATGTGTCTCAGGAAACGACAGATTCTTACCTGAATAACTTGAGCTGTATCTTCAGAGCAAAAGATCCGACATGGCTTCTAAATCAGCGGAATGTACCTTTGTGCCGATATATATGTACTGCTTAGTGGTAGATGTAGATAATACTACTAACTTACTTTCTTCCCCTACCCTTCTTTCATAGTAGCATAGCTCGACTGCCCCAATGTTTACCAACTTCATTTGGTCAGGAGCCTTTGTCGACACTACTAGTTATTCTTCCTAGGTATTATAGAAATTCTGAACCTCAGCTCTCTGATTTAATCCCCGACTCGCAGTGAAGTGGTGAAAGTAGCCATGGCTGTCATTCAGGCACTTCGTTGCCCCAAGTTACCAAAAGCGGCATCACCGGTTAGTACTAGGCACGCAAGACTTATACTTAGCAAATCCCCAGTTATGTGATTTCTACTACTGCAATCATCAATACCTAAATCCGAATAATCACATACTCCGATAAGTCCACTATCAATAAGGAAGATATTC